TTTACTAGAGGATATGACGGGGAAACCGGAAGTCAGCTTTGAAAATGGCTGGTATCGGTGATTAGGTCCACAGTCACAAATACCCCTCACATCCTAACATGCGACAGAAATGGCGTGTTGCCCTAAGAAGAGTTGATGTGTCCACAAAGAATCTATGGAAACCAGGGACAAGCGATGTCGTCTGTCGGGCCCCACTTTTACCGGTGGTGATTACGTGGATACATTGTAGGTACGTATAACACGGTGTTTTTGTTTGTTAAGAATGACATAGTATTTGATTATGCATGATTTTCTAACTACAAAAACAAAGTTGATAAATATGCTTTCTTCGAATATTTTATGTAAACATGTTAGTTAAGCTGAGAATAAATTATGAAAAGAGTTACAGAAATAGATTATAAAGGAATGATATTTGAATGTGATATCTTGAACGTGATTGTCATCTGTAGATTATGATTAGAAAATAGGTGTATATCTCTATCTGAACGTAATTTCTGTATTTCAAAGTAGCATTTTATAGAAGCATGTTTCACCTGTGTTTTCAGTGATTTCAAATTCAGAAAAATGGTATCGAGATTCTGTTCTCAATTTAAAGCAAATACAACAAAGCATACATTGACTCTTTAGAAAATGAATATTGAAATGGAACTATGATTGTGTCTACAACCAGTGTTGATTTATTCCATATTCTCAAATAAATTTTATTATGATTATTGCATGGATGTTTGTTTAATGTTTGTTCTTGTTGCTTTGTGTTTTAAGGACCTATAACAACGATGACAAAGCCTGAAGCTTCCGACTGAAGAATCGCCCAAGGAAACCTCGGAAACTAAGTTTTGTATGGTTTTATATTATTAGTAATCTCTAGAAGTATTGTTCAGATAAATTAGTGTTTCATCTACATAAAATCACTAATTACATCAATTTTACTTTAGTATCAATGCCTTTTAGGTACAGTCTATAGCTTCCTACTGATTCTGTTTTAAATCAGATAAAATTGTTACCTTTCAAGTGAGTGAGTGAGTGAGTTAATATTTAACGTCACATCGGCAATATTTCAGCCATATCGTGACGAGAACATTTGATATTGGAATGAAATATATGTATATTATAAAACCTGTCGACGAAGGGCAGTAAAACAACTAGAACATCACAGATATATAAATGTAAAACTAGTAATAGAGTCTAAAACATTTTAACCATAGGGGACAACACAATATAAAAATAGGCTATAGATCACCAACAACTGAAGGTAGGTCACCATACTAGGGACCATGGGGACTTACAGTACCTTTGCTACCTGCATGGACCCTAGTTGGATTTATATCATCCCTTCAGCCGCTGGTGATTGTAGGATAATTTAGCCGAAATCTAAATGAACAAAAATTCTACGATTAAAAACTTGGTATGTGAAAATTCTACTTTGAAAGTTTTGGGACTTACGTACCCTCTCAGGAGGACAATAATTTTACACTACTTCAACCCCCTTGAGGGATACAGCCACTAACAATCTATGTTACTAATCTAAACTTCCAATCATTAAAATATTTAGCTATTTACAAAACATGTCAATCAGAATTCATCAATTCAATTTTTTAAAAAAAATAACAATAATTAAATGAGGATTTACATTAGTAAAAGATCCTTCAGTGTTTTTACACTGAAATATTTATCCCTTATGATGGAGTATTCAACACAGTCAAGCAAGATATGCTTGACCGTAATTCATTCATCACAAGGGATACAAAACGGAGGATCTTCACCTTTTAATAGGTACTCGTGAGTATAACGCGTATGGCCAATGCGACATCGTCATATGATGACCTCTTCAAATCTGGACTGGCAACCCAAGTAGGTGCAACCGATATAGGTTTTAATTGCATGTAATTTATTGATACCTACTTGGGTGTCCTACTTCTTCTGCATCAGATCACGAATATAAGATCTAATAGCAGGCTTTGTAATCAGAATATGGAATAAGAAGTGGTGTTACATATTTGTTGAGGGCTGTCTTGGCAGCAAGATCAGCCATTGTGTTCCCAGAAATGCCAACGTGGCTGGGTAACCAACAAAAAGACGATGTCGCATTGGCCAGTAGCAAGATCATTATATAATTCGATTATTTCAATAAAAGTGGATGTTTGCAAGAGAGATTTTAATTGCCTGAAGAGCAAGAAAGAGTCAGAAAATATTATATATTGTTTATGTTTGGGGTGTCAATTATATATTTAAGAGCTGTTAAGATGGCGTTTGGCTTCTGCTGTGAAAATTGAGCTGTCATTGGGTAGTCTGAAAGATATTGTTTGGACCCAATGACAGTGGCACATGACAACTGCGCCACCATCCTTGGATCCATCTGTATATAAGGATTTATAGGTATTATATTTGTTTCTTAATTGACTAAATTCTTGTTTACATTGTAAATCATTAGTTTCGGATTTTTTAAATGTGGTTAATGTTAAGTCAACTTCTGGCCTCACCAATTGCCAAGGAGGAGAAGAAAGAAGACGAGAAGGAGATATATTCTCCAGCTCTATGCCAGCAGCAGAAAGGAATGGTTTAATTCTGTGCCCAAGAGGCGGAACAAGAGAAGGCTTTTTGTTATACAAATCCTCATAAAGAGGATTGAAGACACAATTAAATGCAGGATTAGATTTGTTTGAATATAGTTTAGTAATATATTGTAAGGATAATTTAATACGGCGTTGGAAAAGCGAAGGCTCATCTGCCTCAGCATAGAGACTATCAACTGGAGAGGTTCTAAATGATCCAAGACAAAGTCTTAGACCTTGGTGGTGAACAGAATCAAGTAATTTAAGGTTGCTTTTGCAGGCTCCGCCATATACGATGGAACCATAATCAAGTTTAGATCGTACCAATGCTTGGTATAAGTGAAGGAGCGTAGTTTTTAACAAATCGAGTGCCTTCAGGCATTTCGTTTTAAGTGTTTTAATATGTGGTAGAAACGTTAAGTGTGAGTCAAAAATAATACCCAAGAACTTGGCCTCCTTCACAACTTTGATAGGAGTGCCATTTAGAGATAGTTCCGGGTCTTTATGCGGCTTATATTTTCTACAAAAGTGTAGACAATTAGTTTTGGAAAATTTAAAACCGTTTTCAAGACACCATTTATGTATTTTATTTAAACACAACTGCAGTTGCCGTTCAATAGTATGCATATTCTTACCACGACAAGAAATATTAAAATCATCCACAAAAAGTGATCCATCAATTGAATCGTTTAAAACCTTGGATAAACTGTTAATTTTGATGCTAAAAAGTGTGACAGACAAAATACTGCCTTGTGGGACACCCTGATCCTGATTATAATGGTCAGACAGGGTAGAACCCACTCGGACTTGAAATTGCCTGTCAGCTAAAAAGGCTGGATATAAATTGAGGCAAACGGCCTCTCAATCCAAAATCGTGTAAATCTCTTAAAATACCATGTTTCCATGTAGTGTCATATGCTTTTCTAAATCAAAAAGATTGACACTGCATGTTGTTTATGAATTATGGCATTTTTACAAAGATTCTAAACGCAGTAAATGATCGATGGTACTACGGTTTTACGGAAACCACATTGTATATCTGTTATTAAGTTATTGGTTTCCAGGTACCAAACAAGTCGATTATTTATCATGCGTTCCATGGTCTTGCAAACACAACTAGTTAGTGAAATTGGCCTATAATTGGAAGGATCAGTATGATCACGTCCAGGTTTAGGGATGGGCACAATGATAGCATCACCATGATGATGAAGGAAATTGTCCAGATGTCCAAATGTCATCAAAATAGATAAGAGCGTCGCTAAACATGATTTAGGTAAGTGTTTCAGGAGTTGATAATGTATACCATCAGCTCCTGAAGCAGTATCGTGAGCTTGGTCAAGAGCAGTATGAAGCTCATGTATCGAAAAGGTTTCGTTGTAGTCTTCCCCATTGTCTGAATTGAAATTAATAGATTTCTTTTCCTGCTGTCTTTGATATTTCTGGAATTCAGGTACATAGTTAGATGAGGAAGAATGTTTGGCCAAAGTTTCTCCAAGTTTATTTGCTATGTCAGATTTATCAGTTAATAATTCATCTCCACTTTTTAGATGCCTAATGCTTGATTTAGAGCCCTTACCTTTTATTTTCTGAATCATGTTCCACACCTTTGATATCGGCGTGCGCGAATTGATGGTTGAGACATAATTTCGCCAAGATTGGCGTTTATTTTGTTTAAAAGTACGCCGTGCTTTGGCGTTTAAAATTCTAAATTTGTTTAAATTGTGGACCATAGGATGACAACGGAAATAGTGCTCGGCTTTCTTCCGTGCCTTCCTAGCTTGTTTGCAATCACAGTAAAATAATGGCAATATTTAATATAGCCCAAGAATGAAAATGTCCTGCTCATCAAGATACGTATTGGAAACGCCGTACATATCTGTTACAGAATTGAGACAATAATACGAAGTCTTTCTATTCAATTTAAACAACTTCTAATCAACCCTCTTCCGTTTGCTGCTTATGTCTGCAGCGTTGTTATGTCGTACGTTTGACGTTATTACACTCGTATGATTTGCATGATGACCAATATTCTAGCAGCTCATGCTTTGATCTCATGATAACATTTACGTTATAGTCGAACATTCTCATTCTACGAAATTGCAAAAAAGATTCCATCAACTCTTGCTCAAAAGCTATTCTTTGCAGGATACATCGTTAGGGGTATCGATGCAGCTTAAAATGTTTTATGATAGTGTCATAAGAAGGACAATTCCAAAGATGAAGCATCAGTAGCATTGAAGTCCCCATTTTGATTGTATTGTGTTTGCATGTGTTTGTAACGGGTGCCATTGTTTATGCAGGACAGAGGTACATTCAACCTTTCATAAAAAAACCGGGATCATCAATATTTATAGTGATTCATAATTGCATTACAATGTCGGTACTGCTTTTTGAAATTATTTCTGTTTAATGTATGAAAGGTTTGCTCGTGTCTGTGCTAGAATTCTGGGAATATGCATAAAACTACACATTTGCAATTTGAGGAAGCAACATGTACTCACGTTGAAGACAGGTGTCTGTTAGCCACCCTGCTTCACAACTTCCAGGACAGATGCCTGTAGCCTTGTCACAATAGGCAGCGTTGAGGCAGTTTCCACACTTGGGGATGCAGTTTCCATAGTAACCGTTTGGGCACGCTGTAGGTGATGTAGAACAACTTTGAAATGATATGTTTCAAATAATCTGATGTAGTTTTAATATCAGGTATTTTCAAATAGAAGGTTCATCAGCGGAAGGTAATGCCAATATTTAATACCAAGATCCATATTGGAGTGGTGCATATCTGGAAAAACAAGCGAGACATTATGCTTCACAGTCATCCAACTTCATATATATCAATGTACATAACTTCAAAACAATCCTGTTGTGTTTGATTGTGTCTGAATAGCACAGAACCTGTACCTGTTTGGCAGTCTGGTTTCATATATCCAGGTGCACATCCTCTCTGACACTGCCCAGTGATCTTGTCGCATATTTCTGTCTTTGGTGAACAATGACACTGTTTGTCACAGTCTTCACCAAACCAGCCGTCACTACAAACTGAAAACGAAGATGATAGGAACAACATAATTACATAATAAACATGGAAAACTACTGACCCCCACCAGAATCACATAAGAAAGTCATATTTCGTAATTAATGATATTTGAAAAAGATTCCATTCCCTCAAAACTATAAAAAAACACATGGCAATAAGGTGAAAACGGGAAGGCAATCTGACATTAATAAAGCATATCTTTTATATCGACTGTTTTATCACGATGGCATACTTCTGACCATCCTGACTATAATTTTCATTTACACTAAGACCTTCCAGCTTTATGCGAATCTTATTACTATAATAAACACACAGTGGTTTAAGTCATGTGCAATTTAACGTCACTATCCCTCGAGAGACTTGTTTCACAGATACGGCTGTGTGGTTATTGTATATAGATAGCCTGCCTATCAGTACTGTCTTAACCCTCATGGTGCCTGGACGTCAGCTGGCTTTGTCGCAGTGTGATGATGATTTCACAAAAATAGACATTGTACAGAAAAGTGGTACCGTTCGAATTTGTACACAGTGTGAGCAAACTGTGCATCATTCATCTCGAGTCGATTGTCCTTCCAACATCGAATCTGAAAGGTTGGCACTGCCTAGAGATAGGAGAACTTGCCAGTATACTAAATTTGACAAATTAACTAAGTCGTAAAATCGATGAATCAAAAAGGGCAATTGAAGTCACGTCAATGATTTTTTTCGGAAATCCAGATGTCCCACAATTCGTGACATTGTAAAAGATGATATGCATATCACAATTATGTCAAAATACACCTTCAGCGATATTTGACGATGAATATAATTTACATCTAAATATCAAATGTGTTCTCAGATAACTTTGTTTATACAATCACTGATAAAATATGCAAGCAGAAACGCTGAACTGAATGTTAAGCCATATTGCAAGGGATTATAAAATGCATGCTTTTTGGCTGTGTTGTGCCTATTGTATCACGTATAATTCGAACTTCGATAAATGCCCCAACGCATGAATTCCTCTTACAACTAAATGAAAATAGTCTGTGACACCAATACCAAATGAAAACAAACGGCGCGCTCGTAAACAATACTTGTTGGATATGAAAGCAACACAAAGTTCAGATTTTACTTTAGTATTACTTTCTGATACAATGAGCGATCCATTTGCCAAATCATACCGTACATTGACTTAATATTGTTGTAATATTTATGGTAAGAGTATGGTAGCAAGAATTAGGCAAATATGAATAAATGTATTTCAGAGAACTGGTACATTCAACACAAGTTATCATACGCACGCCATGACTGACTCTTAAAGGTAACGGTACTTTCACTAATTTCTGACTTTTGCCTTTGGTTACAACAAAAATTACAACACACAGATGTCAGAAAGTTTCTTATCATTTATATGTCACATGTTTGCAAATGCGTTCCATGAATCAACGAATATCTCCTTACTAGTATCCCGCGTACACGTGTCGGTGAACCCGCCTAATTATGAAAGTCGCTTACGGGTAGTGATGTCATACGTATGTCAGCGTACTTATAGATATTTGGTACTTTCATTTTGGTGCAGGACTATACACAAGGTCAATCAATCCTGCGTTTACAGTTCTAACCTTTTCGTTCATCTTTCTCATATTTTTCAGACTTCTTCACACGATAAATTTCACCTTGGATATCTTTTGCATTGGACCAATACAGAAGTAAAAACACAATGTCATTGAGGAAGTTGTCAAATGTAACATATTATGTTTGGGAATACTCTTTCTTAGTAAATTATTGAAACAACACAGAATGTGTGACAGTCTTCCTTCATCTATCTCATGTAATCAGTGGTTTGATCACTTTCTATCATTACTTTATATTGACCAGCCTGATGTTTTACCTATTGTTTCACCACATGTTGCAAAAATGCTACTGATGTGTCAATACTTAATGCTGCTATTACTGAGCAGGAAGTATTGTTTCACATTTTCATTTTCCTAAAGCATCAAGTGCCTCCATTGTACCTTTTCTTACAGTATTGTTTAATCAGATATTTGATAGTGGTAATTTTCCATGTGGCTGGGGCAAGAGTATTATATGCCCTCTGTTCAAATCTAGGTGTAAAAGTAGCCCAAATAAGTATAGGGGTATACCTCATATTGATTCTGTTTGTAAAACGTTTTCCTATATTTTGAATAAGCGTTTAAAAGCATGGTGCGATGCACATGAAATTATTAATGAGTCCCAGGCAGGCTTCAGAGCAGGGTACTCCACATTTTCTCTCTTCAGGCTTTAGCCCAACAATATTCTGGTAAAAAGCGAGAAAGATTTTATTGCCTTTTTATTGATTTCTCAAAGGCTTTTGACACAATAAGACATGATGTTCTCTTGCAATCTTTAGCTGAAGTTGGTATTTCTGGTAAATTTTAGAATATAATATCATCAATGTGCAGCAGTTTATCTGCATGTGTTAGAACCTCAAAGGGTTTATGTAAGTGTTTTACATGTAATATTGGTACCCGTCAGGTTTGTGTGTTACGCCCACAGCTGTTTATCATATTTATCAATAAGTTGTTTTCCTTAATGGAACAGGAAGGTGGTATAGGTGTTAATGTTTCATCTGATTTTAACAATTTGTGTTCACGTATGTTTGCCGATGATGTTTCTGCGCTTTCTGATACATGTAATCAGTTACAACAGAAGATAAATGCACTGTTTTTTTGTAAACAAACTGGAATGTCAATTAATCTTAGTAAAACAAAAGTTGTTGTTTTTAGTAATGGTGGGCCATTACGGGAATATGAAAAGTGGTTCTATAATGGTAATCCTATTGAAACTGTATCCTTCTATAAATATCGAGGACTTGTATTTACACCAAAGCTTATATGGAGTAAAGCACAAAGCTGTCTGGTATTTCAAGCTAACAAGTCAATATTTTCTGTAAATGGTTTTAAAAAAGATTGGAAGAGTAAATTGTAAAGACTTGTTTAAGATTTGTGCCTGTACGGTTTCACCTATTTTGTGTTATGGGTCTGAGATTTGGGGTACTAACTATTGTAGCATCATTTAGTCTGTTCAGGTAAAATTTTGTAAATATTTTTTGAAAGTTGGTAAATCTACCTCTAATAACATGTCACTTGGCGATTGTGGCAGACTTCCTCTACAAGTAGCTTATATGACCAAAGTAATTAAATACCGGTGTCACCTACTGTATATGCCTTATAATAGACCGCCAAAACATTGTTATATTATGTTCAAGTCCTTAGATGATGTTGGCCGCACTACTTTGGCAACTTGAGTCAAAAATATTTTATTTAAGTGTTGTGTTGGCTATGCATGGATCAATCAGGATGTTGGCAATGTTGATTATTTCATATCCTTGTTTAAGCAGAGACTTTCGGGTAATCTTAAAATGATCCACTTCAATTCAAAATTCTAATATATTACTCCCAATTTAAGACCTGCAATCTCTAAATTTAGATGTGGTAATTTTAACTTAGCTGTTGAAACTGGAAGATAGAAAAAAGTTAATTACAATGAGAGATTATGTTTATTTTTTAAATTGGATGACAAAAATGTTATTGAAGAAGAATTTCATGTACTCCTTAAGTGTGAACGATTTTCTGATTTAAGGTTTAGATATATTCAGAAATATTTGACTGATTTTGATCCAAATACCAATTTTATTAACATTATGAAAACACATAATGATTGTATCATAAGAGATTTCAGTATTTTTCTGTATCATGTACTTAAGTGCATTAGAAATGTTCCTCTTACACAGCATGTGCACTTAACTATCTATATTATATGCAAATGACTGTATGATGGGCCTGTGGCCTTTTACTGAATAAACTTTTCTGTCTGTCTTTCTTAGTAAAGTACAGATTCACCTGAGGAGAGTTAGGCGGTGATTAGGTGCCTCACTCTGAGGGTGTGGGTTCGAATCCCGGATGGAACTCAACCAATCAAAATGACTAGAATACAGCAGGCAAATCAAAAGCATATGACACCAATTACGTTATCATCTAAGAGGGCTAAAGTCTGTCTCCTAATGGTATAACATACAATTTGTGCATATCGTTGCTCGTTGTGTTCATTTCTGGATTGTCCGGCTCAATTTCGATTATTCACAGACCGCTGCAATACAGCTGGAATGAGGCGTTAAACATCATATAAACAAACTATTGAGCTCTCTATTTATAATGTCAGAAACATGATTTTCAAACACTGATATTAAATCATTCTAAAATTCCGTAGTTTTTCCTGTGCAATTCCCCCTAAAGGCAGTCATCTCTTGATATAAAGATGGTCAAATCAACGTTAAAATCACAATCTGTCGCTCACACGTTTATAGTATGTTAACCTACCAAATATCTGCACCTCGCAAAGAGCGAGAAAGTCATTTGTCTGTATGGTAAGGTTGTTTCCTGTCAGTGCTTGATGACATCTGACGTCAGCAATAGCAGGCGGATTGGTGTTCGTTGACAACTGGAAGCAGAACTGTCCACCAACATATATCTCCATGCCCCTGTTTCTCTCCGGGTCTGCATTTCAAAGTGGAAAAATGTGATTTCAAATATCAAATATTTTATAACAAAGTTACTGAGATATTGATGATCGTGGCTGATGACCCCGACGTCCCTATACTAATATTTAGTACGTACCTGTTATTTAGCAGTACACGACATACACGCCAACGATTCATATTATTTTGTTAAGGATTTTCTGTGCCACTATGCAGGATGTTTTCTTTAATGAAAACCGTACTACATTGTATTGTGATATTCATTCTTACAGTCCTGACGTAGATAAAGCTTGACGTGTTGTATCTTGTCTGTGTATGAGTTGTTCAGGTTCACAGTCCATGTTTGGACACCCCCTGATTTTAATGTATGTGAACATGTCGGTGGTTTACTGTTGAAGAGGTTGGTAGTTCTGCCATCCACGGCGTACCAGGCCTCGAAACGTTGTGTCCACTCATTGTATGTACTGTTCTGTGTGGCAGTTCTTCCTAAGGCAATATTTTCTGCAGAAAGTGAAACCATATATATGATCACACACATACGACAATTGTGGAAATAATGGCAGTAAATTCATTGTGAGAAACAGTTAATGTTTATTATTTCGTAGTATGCATTTGACTTATCAACACTGGGCTTTAGAAATCTCACATAATTATCAAACGTGGAATAAGGGTTACAGATATCAAATGGCATTTCAAACTAAAATACAGACACCACTGAATATGACATGATATTTTTCTTTGCAACAACTGATAATAATATGGAGCATACATCGTCATACGGACCTCATCGCGTAATGCATGTATATCTCCCGCCATATTGGGCACAATCACAAACAGGAAACATCAATTTAAATTCAGGTTTCAACAACTGTTTAAATATTCTCGTTGTTCTTTCAGTAGCCTTCTTCAAAGAGTTAAATACTTCATGGGATTGAGAAAATAACCGTCAAACAACATTAACAATATCATATAGATCATCAGCTGTAAGAAATCGGAGGGTTTAACATTCAAATATATGAAAAATATTTGACTGGCCATATCTCTTCCGACTAGATAGTATACACATAATAGAATGCGAAATAAAAATTCAAAATGTTTGATAAATTGTATTTATTTGGAATTTGTGTAAACTGTGATACTTGGTCAACTGTTTTACTGTCGACATGTGGAAACAATTCATCTGTGCTCATTTAGATAAGGCAGCAACAAGCCAATGTTACACGGAACTGTAAAACATTCAGTTTCAACCTGCTGGGTCATATTGACTAAGTTCGATCGGCATTGTGTTTACGTTCCAATGTTTCGTGTCTGTCTGAGGGTTATAATGGATACATCGCGATGTTTGTTAGTATTTGAAAAGGACTTTGATCCATGTTTTAAAGCAGAAAATAATATGGGAAACACTACTGATACACCGAGGAGATAGATGTCTACTATAATTGAATTTGGGCATTGATAAACCAGATACAAATAATTAATACTCACTTAATACATATCTTAATCACAAATATGGATGACTTCTATTCATGCTGGGGGCGGTGGGGTAGCCTAGTGGTTAAAGCGTTGGATCGTCACACCGAAGACCCGCGTTCGATTCCCCGCATGGGCACAATGCGTGAAGCCCATTTCTGGTGTCCCCCGCCGTGATATTACTGGAATATTGCTAAAAAGTGGCGTACAAGTAAACGCAGTCAGTCTATTCATGCTACATCTATCCGTCTTCCCCATACTCACGTCTCTGGCAGTAGGAACCGAACCATCCTTCCTGACATCTGTCTGGAACACTGACCTGGCTACAGGGAGTAGATGGGAACACGGCACAGGTAGTAGTGGTGTTACAGTGACACTCGGCATCTGACCAGATAATGAAAGGATGTCTTGTTCTTCACAATACAGGAACATCTACTTATACAGATGAAAAGCCCAAAAGATAATGCATCAAAAACTCGAAATGTTTGATCTTTCCGCTGCTGACATTATGACCACTATGATCCTACTTGATATCATGTCCAAGCTTATCATGTTTAACATTAAGTGTCAGATAGATTATAGTACCAGATGCAGACTTTATATACTAATAGTAATATGTGGACAACCCCTATAACACGTCCTACCAGTGAGAGTCCCAGTGATGGAGAAACATAATAACCCCATCAAAAACCACGCCATTGTGTCTTAGGTTTGTTCCCTGGGGGGATGGCACCTGCAATGAACATACAACGACTGGCTTTACGTACATGGTCATTCGGAACACTTTTCTGCTCACAACTTAAACTGGGGCAATCTGTGTAATCAAACATGTAGTATTATTTGAGTAAAACTATGCTGTTGAATGTGCACTTGCGATAAGATCCTGTGGGCTGATCGTGTGCTGCTTACCAAGCCACTTGATACTATATACTTTGTTTCTCGATTTCACCGAAACAATGTCACAACAAAATATCACTGCTCATGCAGGTATTCTATGATAAATTTCTGCTGACTTGACATAAAAATAATAGACAAATAGTATGTGGGACGTGCAGAAGTATACAAATCTTTACAAGTATACAAGTCTTATTTCAGCACACGCTAAACACATGCCAGAACTTTTGACAACACAAATATGAATATTAAGCGCAATATACAAATATACATAGAATCTGAACAGTTTCACTTGCATCTTTGCTATCGTTGTGTTTGTTATGGACGCCTCTTTGACTTTCGTCTTTGCTATTATCAGTTGGTTCTGGACACGTGTTATGTTTGCACCTTTCCTACATTTGCCTTTGTATCAGAACGATTTAGATATTTGATATGTAGTATTTTACTGTTCCTGTCTAAGTCATGCTGATCATGAATCCGAGGAGGGTTTGTCACCTATTCCTTGTCAGCTAAGGTGGTAGTGTCTTGGGTGTGCAGTATCTTTGACCCCCGGGATCAACAAATGATTCCTGGTGTTACGTCTACTTGAACACAGAATTCATTGACGTGGGTACAAAATGAAACACAAAACACGTTCATGTTTTAATTACATTCGAAATGCAAACAGTATCTATCTTGGACTATGCACTAATTGCACTGGCTCACGAGGAAACAGTATCAAGGTCCGCCAACATGGACACCCGATCATACCCGTTATGTTAGGTTGATCGAAAAGAGTTAATAGGATTTGATGTTGATGTTTTGAGTAGTACACACAAGTGATTTTTTGCCTCCAATGAATCTGATAACAATGCACCATTTTAGACGGGATACTATCATTAGCTATCGACACACTAATCTGTTCATACGTTCAAAGCAATGAGCAACTAAATGTGTACACATGTGTCCATGTACATTACGAGAAAGGTAGAGGCATATATTATAAAACCATGAACGACACAGGTAGCCACAAATACCTCCCCATATCAGGACAATTCGTCTTGCAATACACCCAGAAATACCCTCGGATCAATATGTCACAGTCGCTTTCTTAACATACAGTACCCAAAACGCCGGGCGCTCTATAAATAGTTTAAGCTGAGCGATTGTAGCACCGTCGTACATCTTCCTTCATAAATAACTGTATATATCCTATATGATTATCATGAAACGGATACTTCCAACATCAAGAATATACTGCAAATGTAACGTAAGAAATCACGGATACTCACCCGTGTCCAGGCAGGAATAATACAGCGACACACAACCAGGAACAAAGTTGTAGGGACGAGGTCACACGTCTTCCTCACCAGGTAGCATAGGAATCTTTTACCAGTTCGTTCAAGTTGACATTACGTCCTGGTTTGCGGGATACCTTGTACACAGTTTAATGTTATCTTTGAGGTGACAATGACGTAGGTGTGCTCTTTTGAACACAACATATATTTATTTTGAACTTGAGATCATGGTTATGCCCAAATACACATGCTGTGATATTCTCATGGGTTTGAGATTGTCTAGTGACTCTCACAGTATGCGATTTGTCATATATGTGCCTCATCAAACTCATTTTCATAACAATGAGTTTGCGCACGCACGCACGCACACTTTCCTTCCTATACCCTCTCTGCAGCCGCTGACCACAGATCGTCATCATCAGGGTGGTAAACCTGAACTCTTCTTTACATCGCAGACTTAATCTAAATATGGTGACTAATTCGCTTATATCATGTATCATGTAGTAAAATGCTGTATGCATTTTGTTTACATTAGATAACATGACCCGATAGCAAACGACTGGTGGTAGAGGTAGTGGCATATGGTCCTGTGCACAGAGCTCAGGTCACAAATCAGCTGAAGTTAAGCAACGTTTGACGCGGAGAGTACTTGGATGGGTGACCGTGTTTGGACGCTTGACTCCTGAGATTTTCTAGGACTTTAGTCCTGCCCCACAACAAAAGTACATATGATAAATGTGGTCTTCACCAAGCAGAAAATATGGGTACCCGGTGGGATATGTCATTTGACTAATAATCTAGCGCCTCATGGGCAGCTTGGGTTATCCAGGGTAATAAAAATCAGATTGTGTGTCAGCGCCTCGAGCGCTCTTTGGTGTGGAGAATCCATATTATTATTACTTTACATTTAAAACGCAATTTGACATTCATTCTTCTTTACTCACACCAATTTCAACATATATAAACCTAACTGGCAGATATGTTTTAAGTGAACATCTGTGAATAATTTCAACGGAAAATGTCCAGTCAACAAGAACATCAGTGACGCAACAACGACATCAAAGAAAGGAGGGGGTCGCTTGCAGTCAATATTGTGTGTGCCACCGTCCGCTGCAAAACATGCTCGCAGTCTTTCGGGCATTGAAAGACACACATTTCTCAGGAACAGCTGTTGGATGGTCTACAGCTTCTGATGGTCTGTGGTCTGATCATGACACCACCCACTCCAAAATTATCATGTTCAAGGACACAGTTTGGCGCAAGTCTTTCTCCTTTACGTCGATAAATCTGTGGACGTCCATCAAGTTAAACCTGGATTCATCTGACAAAATGACATCTGGCTGTGTCCTGTTGCCAAGATTGGCCCCGTTTGCTGCCCATCGCTGTCTGGCAAGTCTGTCGCGATGCAATAAGGTTGGACCACGGTACGGGTGACGACACCGGATGTTGAAGGCAGCAAGACGTCCTTTCACCTTTTGGGCGCTGAAATGACGTTGACTTCTCCCAATTGTCCTCCTTGCCTCATTATCAGCTTTTTGGAACCGATTTCGAAAGTGTTATCACAGGTGGTGCACCAGGTCACGGACGATCAGCAACACTTCCGGTAGCCCGAAAACGTTGTCTGAGTTTACTTACAGTGGATGGATGCACATTAATGTGCCCAGCAATCATCACATCTGAAGCACCTTGGCTGACCATACCGATAACCTGATTCCTTGCGTCTTGTGTCAAGTGTGGCATTTTCTCAAAATGATTGAGTTCCACAATTCCTTGTGCTTTTGTGAGTTTCAGGACAACAAATATCAATTGCATTTTTTATGGCTTACAGTATATTATTATCTGATTCATTGTGACGTTCGCTTTGCTACTGCACCGTGTTTGCATTCGTAAGTTCCACGTCGATGTGTTAAAAGCGCGGGAAAACGAAAGACTTGTAGATTTTAATGTTTACATCAGATAACATGGCTTGATAGGAAACACCTGATGCCGGGATTGCATAACTACCGTCATGTATTTTTATTAGTACGTTCTACGTCAACGTGGTTAAAGCAATGTACAGATCTTCCGCTTGAAACCCAACCACCTACCTTCGCTGTCGTATTGTGACATTTATTTACTCCGAGACCGTATAACAAAGAGGAACTTTGAGAGAAAAGTGATCGAGTTCGTGTAATTGAACGGATGTGAGGTGTCAAGTAACAGAATAAAGACACAATCTTTGACACTAAGTTGTCTTATTCGTTGTACACATTAGTTTATGTGTAAATGACAAGGTGCAATTTGATTCAGATTATTATTTCTGTGCACGTATGTATTCTGGTAGATACAGATATGTTAACGTGAGTCAGTGAGTTATTATTTAACGTCACATCGGCAATATTTGAGCCATATCGTGACGAGAACACATTTGATCTTGAAGTGGAATATATGTATATCATAAAAACCTGTCGACGAAGGACAGTAAAACAACTAGAATATCACAATTAGAATTAAACCTAGCGTGGAAAGTTTAAAACTAATAGCACTATTGTGCTACTGGTGTTACGCCACTTTTAGCAATATTCCAGCAATATCACTGCGGGCTTCACCAGAAATGGGTTTCACACCCTATATGTGGGAATCGAATCCGGGTCTTCAGCGTTGGCGAGCAGAAGCTTTAACCACTAGGCTACCCCACCGCTCCATGTATGAAGATATCTAATATATGTAACTTGTAATTGTTGTCCAGTTCAAGACATTACAGAATATGTGCACCTTTCAGGAGCATGTACGGCTATGTTAAAGTGTTTACTTTACTGCCAACATCCCTAACACCACAGACGACCTACTAGCTGTAAATATAACATAACTGAAACTGAAACATACACAATGCATAACCACTGTCAAATTACATTTATTTCAAATAATAGATTCATGAGAGATACAATGATAATGATACATTAAATGATTATATGGATCCAACATCTATACTACGCTGATTGTGATCATGGTCAGTGACCACCAGACATACCATGGCAAAAACAGCGTGTTGAGTGGGTAAATGGATTTATATTACAAAAACAAAAAGGCGCACTTACAAATACGTGTGTGTGATTTTATGATAAGATGCCAAGGATCAGGAAAGCGTAATACAACAAGTGACAGTACAGATATGTATGTATCGTGATGTATCATGATGTAACGTAGTGCATGTGACCTTGTTACGGTTTTGTTCTAATATAGCACCTCTCGGAGGTATCTTACAAGTACGCACATGTATAATGATTATGCATATTTGAACGTTTGGAAACTGTAAGAGCTTGTTATTGGTTTTCTCGTATATATAATTTTAACACGATTTATGGATATTTAGGTGTTGGAACATTGTTATGGGTTCATGGCTTTATGCAATTTTTTAAACAAAATTTCATATCGAGAAGGAGACCAGGAACTGACTTCTCTCCATGCTGGAAATCAGACTAACATCTTCAGGGTGACAGCTTCAACCACCAGAGGTGAGGTGATGTGAAATTGGGTTTAACGTCGCGCTGGAGAATATTTCGCTAATATGACGACATGCATGCGTGTGTATGTGCGGCTGCTTGTACTAGCCCAGACTGAAGCTGGTTTTATAGTGCTAGCCCACTGAGATACAATGCCGCAGTGAAGCATGAATACCCCACTCAGACACATTATACTGACTCCGAGCCGACCAGTCCTTGTTATACCCATTAATGCCGAGCGCCAGGCAGGGACCAACAAGTACCATATTTTAACGTCTTTTGGATCGAACCTGCGACCTTCCGCTCTCCGTGCAGACGCTCTAACCACTACACCACCGAGGCGGTCAAACCACTAGAAGTATTCAGGGAGAAATGTTTCAAATAATATCTACTTAAAGGTCATACACTGTTATGTATAATTATATGTTTTATTTCAGTGACCATACTAACAGTAACATGGCTTGGTACAGTTTTCAACCCTTATGTAACATCGAGGAACACCAAGACTTGGTCTCACATAATGTATCCATGCAGAGATCAAACTTATACCTTCAGGCTATAAGCAAAGGTTTGAACAGCAGCTAATCATTCAAAGAGAAACATTACAGAGAAAATCTACAAAAGGTAATGTACTGTAGTCTAATACATGTGTTCGAACGTGTTCAGACAACCCCATTCGGTAGGTTTGGTTGGATGGCACCAGGTTACACATACAAAAAAATGGCAGATGGCGAGTCACAGAGAATTGGAATTCAGTGCCTCGCAGTGTAACGTTGTACGTCAGTTCAATGTCAGGAATGTCAACGCCCCTCTATAGGACATATTGAACTACTGAATCAGAAAGTGATCCCACCATTGCGCTATTGCACTTATTACGATGATATCAAGTGCACAACCACACCAGATACCAGCACCATAGGGTCTGCTAATCCGTTACAACTCCTCCGCAAGACACTGCTTCGTATCGTCGACACAAGTTCCTGACATCACCCTAGCAACAGAGGTGTAACTGTGAGGATAGTGCGACGATGTGTATGAAGGATCCGCTTCACCTTTACATGCGTGGAGGTGGACATACATGGCGCCGTTTGTTCTTGAAAACCATCATGACAACAGAAACCTGGTACGGTAATCATGACATGATGACAGAACAGTAATAGTGACACGACGACGGAACAGTATTAGTGACATGATGACAGAACATTTATAGTAACATGATGACAAAACAGTAATCGAGACATGATGACAGAACATTTATAGTGACATGATGACAGAACAGTAATCATGACATGATGACAGAACAGTAATCGTGACATGACGACAGTACAGTAATCGTGACATCATGACAGAACAGTAATTGTGACATAATGACAGAACAGTAATCATGACATGACGACAGAACAGTAATCGTGACATGATAACAGAACAGTAATCGTGACATAATGACAGAACAGCAATCATGACATGACGACAGAACGGTAATCGCGCCGATCATATATTGCTTATTATTTCCCTTAAGATAAATTTGTTGAAGTCTGATTGGTGAATAGCCAGAGCATTCGAAACCATGTAGGCGGATTTGCCAGTGTGTGTCAATATATAAATATATCCCAAAAATATAATGCTTCTGTATTTCACTTGTCGTTTAACAAAACCCCACATTCGTTCGTTGTTATTATAAACTAAGCCATCTAGAGTTATCCCCCTTTATGGCCGTTCAAGAAAACTCAGGGCAAAACGTTTTGCGTCTCATTCTGCCGAAGGCTGATGTTGTTGTTTAAAGATAAGCTAAATTAAAATATCTTAAAGGTAATAAATTCGTCACATGGTGTGCCTCAGGGAATACGGAATTAACAAGAGTCTTACAGTCCCGTACATCCTTTCAAAAAACCGTGCAACTAATATGATCACAGTTCTTAACAACAAAATATATGTGGCTCGAGTTGTTTAATAATTAGTAGCCTTACGTGAGATTCTCAAGTGGTTCCACATTCAGAAATGTCTGTTCATATACTCGTGTAACAAGAAACTATAGCAATGTCGATCTAGACAGGTCGCTTTACACAACTGTTTTTGATCACTTTAAATGCGGCCCTGATGATCTTCCCCCATATTGACATAAGGAGTTGAATTGTTAATTTGTTCATATGTGTTCTCCACAACTGGATCCTTGGTCCTTTCGTCTAGGGATATGTAGTTATCTTCGGGTTTCTTTTGTAAGACACCAAGTTGATTCTTCAGTCTGTAATATACATAAATATTCTTGATCTACACAAGATAATTCTGTACATGTTAATCTCTCGATGCCTAATACATCTGCATAAGGGCTGTGTATTGGCAAATAAATTGTACTGCAATATATTGCGATTCAGGACCAGTAGTGTTGGACAGTAAATGCCACTAATTGTACATGTCGATCCTTTCTTCTACAATCAAAATCTCTAAACATATATGTTATGTTTTTAATAACACCAGTCTCAAAATTAGGTTGCACAGTCAGGGATTCTATTTTCTTTTTTATATAATTTACCGTATTATGAATATATATATGAATATATCTCTCGGGGTCATTTTGCACCAAACTTAAATCAATGTCAGTAATACCAATCTGAGAAGATCTGCAGGTTTGTATGATTCTAATCAACTCCGTTGAATAAAACGTGTAATGTGTGTGTGTGTGTGTGTGTGTGTTTGGATTCGAACCCTCGCAATCCGCGTAAGGTAATCGCGTAATCGCCAGCACACAGTTATAGAACTAAACATGGAGGGACGTCTCCAATGCAGAATCATTTGCATTAAATCAATTGCCTAATATTGCCCTGTACCACGAATCCTCTTTGTAAGTCCATAATATTACATCTTTTCCCTTACCTTCTGATGTAAATGATGGCTGTCAACAGAGCGATGAGAGCCAAGATGAGAAGTGTCCCAAGTGTTGCTGCAACTGGCACTACCTGGTTTGAGTGTCCTGAAGTTGCCGGACACTCTGTACAATATAGTTTGTAAACACAATACAACTGGTTGATATAACTGTATATTTAATGTCTGAACGTGTTTTGTTATCCACGAGAAACGGGTTATTCTGTGTAAACAAATTCAACATTTCTGATTTGTTCAATATATAACTAACGCTTACAAATCTACCCATACCAGGTCTACACAGCTTTAGAAAAGTATTGCCATATATGCGACCGTTAGTGATGTACAAAACAATGGCATCCTGCGATAGCATTCCTTCGACCGTAAAGTTAGGGTTAACAGTTTTCAGACAGTGATTATGGTTGTTACTCGAAATGATGCATTCCCTGTTCATCTAAACCTATGTCTCTTGAAAAGTTAAGACAAAGAACACACTTACGCTCGCAACGGGCACCTGAATACCCTCCATCACATCCACTCCCGCAGATTCCGTTAGTTCTGTCACAAACTGTGCCGCTCTTGCAGTGACCACATCCTGACGTACAACCGCTGCCGTACCTCCCGTCATCACACACTGAAATAACCAGTATGGTATCACAAGTCTCATTTACGTGTGTCTGTATGTGTCAGAGGATACGGCTTATATCTACGTAACTTACGAACGTTAGCCGTGGAATATGTAGTTAATGTACATACAAAGCCTGGACTTTAAATGACTAATCGGTACAACGAAAGAACAAGAATGGAAACGGATGAGCCATGAATTGGAACCAAATTAAGCATTTACTGTTATGACACGTGTTATTTATCCACCCTGCTGCACATCCGTTGGGACATATTCCCGTTGACTTGTTACATACATCATTCTCCAGACAGTTTCCACATTTGGACGTGCAGTCTGTACCGTAGTAACCACCTGGACATGCTGTGAAAAGAAGTGCACTTCAAATGAAATGTCACAAGATTTACCTGAAGCAATGGGTATACTGTTGTGTAAGGATACTTTATGTCCTTTTCAGACAGACCTATCTGCTCATCTCCTTAATTTGTTTGGTTAATATGATGTCAATGATAGTTGAGAGGCGATAGATCAATATGTGTCTTAATGACCTTCTATATTTCTAGGATGACAAAACGGATTTAAGAATATTAATTACAAATATCGACACAGGATGTTGACCACATGTATGGTAAGAATTAATAAACAAACAGTATTGTTACCGCACTAGAGTGCAATTGTTTTGGGGTTTTTTTTCATATTCTTCAAAACCGTACCATGTACCATTATTCTATCATTATCAAGGGCAGAAATATACTTCAGGGAAAACCACACATTAAATGGACAAATATCATCTGCATAATTTAACATAGTATAACATTTACACTTACGGTGAACACAGGTATCGTTCATCCAACCTTCTGCACATCCTCTCGGGCACATTCCTGTTGACTTGTTACACACATGACCATCAAGGCAGTTTCCACAGTGGGAGGCACAGTTCATACCATACCGTCCATCCTGACACGCTGTACACAAGTATATCACGTTAGTTATGATGACAACAAGGACAATATTCTGTCGTTGGCAGCGTTAATCTGTGTACTCTCATGAAGTTTCAGACATACACTAAACAACCATTTATGTATACTAGTATTACCAACTGTAACTTGCACTCCACGTCAGTGGACAAAGATGAAGCTCTATTAAACCAAAGGTGAGAAAACATTGACTCAATTTTGTTTTGAAAACTTTCCACTAGACTAAATGGCAATAGGGATGACTTTCAATAGTCAACTGTGTCCATGTTCCAACATATCCCAACTTTAGTATCGGAGTTTTAAACTTTTGAGCTTCAAATCAAGCATACTTGACGATTTCAATGAACGTGTCGTAGACGGCTTTCTCTAAGGTAGTTCAAGCAAGGTTAGAGTAGCACATGTCTCAATAAAACGTACAAATGATTTTATAAGGGACACGAGAAGGATATGTGACCAAAATGATATCATATACAATTTCTGTTGAACATGTACGTTCCCATATTTCTTTGATCTATTTTGCATGTTTTAGTATGTTGCCAGGCGATGTTGGATTGTTTTCGCAAACAGTTGATATTACCATTTTCCTGATAGTGATTAATACACATATGCTCACCTTGAATACTGTCACTCATGATTATCGAAATGTTCGGGTCATTTTTTTTCTTTGCAAAACAAATCTAAGAATCTTAGAGAGAGAGAGGATTCGAATTATAAATCATAAAATGATGGATGGTTATGGAAAGACTTTGGTTTATGACATTCCTTTATTTTCTTTTGCAGGTAATTCGGTACGTATGATCAGTAATGTGTATTAGCCAATTAAGATAAAATATATAATCTGAGACTATGCACAGAGCCAAGCAACTGAACCCTGACTACAGAAAATGTACTCACGTTGAAGACAGGTGCCAGTTAACCACCCTGCAGCACAACCTCCAGGACAGATGCCTGTGTCCTTGTTACAACATGCAGCGTTATAGCAGTTTCCACACTTGGAGGTGCAGTCTCCATAGTAACCTTCCTCACACGCTGTATATGATATAAAACAATAAGTGTGTCAACTATATACATGTAAAAAACATTTTAAATAGTATGGACCCGTGAAGATCCGGGGTAGAATAGGTCTTCAGCAACCCATGTGCTTGCCATAAAAAGGCGACTATCTTGTCGTAAGAGGCGACTAGCTGGATCGGGTGGTCAGTTTCACTGACTTGGTTGACACATGTCATCGGTTCCCAATTGCGCAGATCGATGCTCATGCTGTTGATCACTGGATTGTCTGGTCCAGACTCGATTATTTACAGACCGCCGCCATATAGCTGGAATATTGCTGAGTGCGGCGTAAAACTAAACTCACTCACTCACTCTAAATAGTATGAAGCAGACATGCGCATTTTCAAATAGAAGCTTCATTCCGAAAGGTAATGGTAATGATTAATACAGTCCAAGATGAAGGCGTCCTACTGATCAAGATACATATGGGAAACGCCGTACATATCAGTTACAGGAGGGAGGCAATATACTTTCTATTCAATTCACTTTTCAATGCAATCCGGCACCCGTGGTGGGTGCTGGGTAACGCTAAGCGCTCTTCCACCCGTTGTGGACCCGGGGGTATATTTGGTCCACCAACCCGTTTTCCGTGGGTTGCGCTCCTATGTCGGTGGGGGGCGGGAGTCTGGTGGTTGAGGGCACTGGGAGCTTGGAACCGTGTTCCTTTTGCCCAACACACCACTTCGCCCCTTACTTCACCTAGACGGGTGGTAGAACTGGCCCGGTTCTATCAATCGGCTGGTCAAGCCATGCCCTGCGCATGGAAACATTCAATTTTAAATTTCTGTACATTTATATAATGTTTATATTGAATGTTGTCATTTAAAATTATATGGTACTTGCATATATTTGCCTAGAGTCCTATGACAGAAGGCGATGGCTCATGGGACAATCTAGTGATGTTGACCGCTGAATTCTATATGTTTCTAAGTTGTTGTTGTTATGGGCATAACCACCCTGACAATATACGTGATAAACAAATATAGCTATCCATGTCATATTTGCTGGAGTATAGCAACCCTGTATCCCTGGTGTTTGAATGCTGGAGACCCGATGCAGTTAGACACCATCCTTGTTTACGCTCCATGGTGGGTAGGGAGCAGGATTGCTGAATAAATATATGTCACCATGGCTCATAATATCAATGGTTCGAAACGCAAACATCTAGATTCAAGTTCCTCTGACGAGAGTATTACAGATTTTGATTCCTGGACTCGATTCATCGTGATCGAAGCTGAAGACCAGTTACCAGTTAAACTGAACCCCTTTGCCATTTCTAAAGCTATTCATGGACAGTGTGGGGAGGTGAAGAATGTCACCCGGCTTCGTTCTGGATCCCTACTTGTAGTATGTGTGAGGAAACAACAATCCCTGAATCTGTTATCCATCTTGCCAATGTTAAAGGTCACATGCAACGTAAAACACAACTTCGCAGATTCTGATACCTTTCGGTATGGACTTACCGAAACAAATCGTCAAAAATGCAAATTCAACTTATAAAGTTGAAAAATAACGGGATGAAAAAAAAACGAAATTGGAGTTCAAACGATTCACTAATTTCCCCCCAGCGTTTGGGGGGAATTCAAGTGGTTTTAACAGCTGGGCTGCGCTCATAGCACGTGCGCAGTGAAATAGGTTTGCTCAGTTCGGAAGCGGGTTGTCCGGTGAATACTCGGTGAAGGCTTTGGTGTGAGCTGTTTTTCTAATGTTTTGTTGATATCTCACAGGCGCGAGCTTTTTATATGTTATGACAGTACATTAACCGTTTATATAATTTCATTTGTCTATTTCACTAAACGTTCTTCTTACCGAGTCACTTTCTCAGTTCGATACTTAAAAGCAATGGCATTATTTAGCGTTGACAGAATTTCTAACTGTGGTATAGATATGTCGTTGTCACAGACAAAACTCAATGTCTTGTTTTATTGACACCTGTGTGTCTGCCTGTCTGTCTGCTAATGACAATATTCAATACACAGCTGCTTTCACTGACCACATGCAATTTGAACTTAACACCAATTAGGCTATACACCATAAACAAAATGCATTGATTTATGACCCGAGTTCGGTCTCTGTCACATTATGTAATTACACAGACAGGCAGGTGTGATACTTGAACACATGACATGTTATGATGTCTGTTGATTTCAAAATGTTACACACAAAAAATGAGCATGTATTTACAAAACCCAACATCTCTATATATACACACAATGAGCCGTGAGGGCGTCTGCAAATGAACCAGCCGTTACACTTGAGTGCACACCCACCCGCTCTGACTGGGTTCGGTATCCCGGCTGCCTCGTTTCTTGGGAAGTAAACCCAAGTACACAATATTGCACTTTTGATTTGCGATTGTACGCTTATTATTTTGTTTATATGTTTTTTCATAACCAGCAATGTATATTATATGTCATGAATAAGTAATACTTGTGTTTTAAATATGTTTGATTTTTTGGTTGTGACCTTTAAGGTTGTTGTATCTGAACGCAGGACACTCAACTCATGCCGAGGCATTGTACATGACCGGACCCGCTCCTTGTCTGGCATGTCGGAGCAGGTAATAACTGATGAATTAAAACATCAAGGAGTGTCTTCTGTTAAACAGTTTACAAGGAAGAAGGAAGATTCAACAATTGACCAACGAATACGTACTTGTTTACGTTTGCCAGATCATCATTACCACAATCTATCAAAGTTGGTTATGTCAACATCGGAGTGGAGGTGTATGTCCCCAATCCACTCCGATGCTTTAAATGTCAAAAGTTTGGCCACGGATCTAAGACGTGTAGTCGCTCCGTAGCTTACCAACGCTGTGGCGATAACCATGAGCATACTGACTGTCAACAAGCACTGAACTGTATAAACTGTGGTGGCCAACATATGGCCTCATCTAAATCCTGCCGTGTTTGGCAAATTGAATAAAATATCTTAAAACTAAAATGTGAGAACAACATTACTTTTGGAGAAGCCAGGAAGCTACTGACTTCTCAGTCAGCCTCTCAATCCACATCTCAATCCACATTCACTTATGCTACTGTTGTTTCTAAGACAGCTCCAACTTCGTCTGTTTCATGTCAGACGGAATTGACTTGGATCAATTCCGAACAACATGCTGTGACATCACCTGTCATCATGGTTGATAGTCAAACATCGACATCACCTTCTACTTCTCAGGCTGAAAGTCAGACTCAACCAGTCTTGGAACAACCATCCAGTGGAAAAATCACAAAAAGTGGCAGAAAAAAGTTAAATAGAAAACAATCGCCCAGGAATCCCGTTCCATCATGGGTGCCTGTCCAGAACACCTATAGTGCTTTTGACATGGAAGTTGCTGCATTATCACAGAGTTCTGTGGGGAGTTCTTCTTCATCACGATCACGTGAGAGATGACCCATTGGACCACCATGAGTCATTCATCTAATATAGTCCAATGGAATTCCAGAGGACTAAGAAAGAATTTCAACGAGATACAATTGTTAGTTGAGGAATTTAAACCATCGGCAGTCTGTCTACAAGAGACCTAGCTTAAACATGCTGATACATTTGATTTAAGGCAGTACATGTGTTATCATTCATTTTCTCCTCCAGGAGATAAAGCGACTGGAGGTTCTTCTATATTAGTAAGACAGAACATCACCCATAGTGGGGTCCATCTAAATACTAATCGTCATGCCGTTGCTATTCGCCTTACTTTGCACATTACACCTACTTTGTGCTCTTTGTACATTCCACCTTCATCTGCTCTACGACAATCTGATCTTCAGAATCTGTATGATCACCTACCAAAGCCCTGTATCATCATGGGCGATTTAAACGGGCACAACCCTCTATGGGGAAGTACAAGTACAAACAATTAAGGCAAGGTCACTGAAGATTTTATTTCTGATAATAATTTATGTGTGTTTAATGATGATTCAAGCACTTATTTACACCCTGCGACAGGAACCTATTCTTCACTTGATCTGTCCCTCGCAGATGCGAATGTTTACGGCGAATTTGAATGGTCTGTTCATGACAACCTTTGTCGAAGCGATCACTTCCCTACTATCCTAAACGTTATAAAAAGCGGATGATGACTCCCCTTTATTACGTTGGATTTTTTCCAAGGCCAACTGGTCCTTGTTTGAAACAATATGTGTGAAAACATTAGTACCTGACAATTTGAAAATGTATCAGATCCCATACAGTTGTTTTCCGCTCAACTGACTGAAATTGCTGAAAAAACAAATCCTAAGTCCTCTGCAACTCCTCATATTCGTAAACCATGGTTTAACAATGAATGCAAACAAGCCAGGAAACATAGGAAGAAGGCGGGAAAATATTTCCGCCAACATCCTACAGTTCATAACTTAAATAATGTTAAAATTACAAATGCCAAGGCACGACGTGCATATAATCAAAATAAGCGTCAATCTTGGAGAAATTATGTCTCCAAAATTAATTCGCGCACACCCATGACTAAGGTGTGGAACATGGTTCAGCGAATAAAAGGCAAAGGTTCAAAATCTGCTGTCCACCATTTAAAAGATGGTGACAATTTAATAACTGATAAATCTAACATTGCAAATAAAATTGGCGAAACTCATGCCAAACATTCTTCATCGGCAAATTATGTCCCTGAGTTTCAGAGATGTCAGAAACAACGCTAAAAGACAAAAATTAATTTTGATTCACATAACAGTGAAGACTACAATGAAGTGTTTTCATTACATGAGCTTCACACAGCTCTTGAGCAAGCTCATGATACTGCAGCAGGTGATGATAATATCCATTATCAGTTATTGAAACATTTGCCTGAATCATGAAATATTTGACCTGGAAATTTCCCTCCGTCATGGAGTAATGCCATTATAGTCCCAATACCAAAACCTGTCCGGGATCATACTGATCCATCCAATTACATATCCATATCTCAAACCAGCTGTGTCTGCAAGACCATGGAACGAATGGTAAATGATAGATTAATTTGGTATCTTGAAACCAATACCCTTATCACAAACATTCAATGTGGTTACAGGAAAAATCAAGTACCATTGATCATTTGGTACGATTAGAATCCTTTATTAAAAATGCTATAGTATATATACAAGATGCAGTATCGATATTCTTTGATCTCGGGAAAGCGTACGGTACCACCTGGAAGCACGGCATTATAAAGGATTTACACGATTTTGGTTTAAGGGGGTCGTTTACCACTGTTTATATCACAGTTTACACAGGCAATATCAAGTCCGAATGGGTTCAACCCTGTCTGACCATTATAATCAGGACCAGGGTGTCCCACAAGGCAGTATTTTGTCTGTTACGCTATTTAGTATTAAAATAAATAGTCTTTCAAAGGTTTTAAGTGGTTCAATTAATTGGATCCCTTTTCGTGGATGATTTTTTATATTTCTTGCCGTGGTAAAAATATGCGGACTATTGAGAGACAGTGACAACAAAATTCATAGATGGTGTCTGGAAAACGGGTTTAAATTTTTTGAATCTAAAATCAATTGTATACATTTCTGCAGAAAATACAAACCTCACAAAGACCCTGATTTATCTTTAAATGGCACACCCATCAAAGTTGTGAAAGAAGCTAAGTTCCTAGGTCTCATCTTTGACTCCCATTTAACTTTTCTGCCGCATATTAAATATCTAAAAGCCAAATGTTTGAAGGCACTCGACTTGCTGAAAGTCGTTTCGAATTCTAAGTGGGGAGGGGACCAAACTACCCTCCTTCACTTATATAGATCACTGGTCAGATCGAAACTTGATTATGGCTCCATCGTTTATGGTGGAGCCTGTAAATGCAATTTGAAACTACAGTCCGTTTGAGTCAGAAACGGACCGATGAATTGCAAATTTGATCATTGTACAAAATTGCCACATAAATATAAATAGTACATATGTTTATCATTTACTAATGCCCAACAGCTTTCTTATGTTTGAAAATTTTCCGGACTCCACCAAAACAGTTGTTTAAGAAACTATCATCATTGAAAACGCAAAAGTTGTTATCGGTCGCGGCGGGGTGAAACCGCAGAAACGGAACAGCCACTATCTCGTTGTGCACGGGATACACATGCCTGATGAAAAATGAAGTTGAATGCTGACGTGAAACAGTTGATGATTAAAGTGCACGATTTTTTCCATGCTGAAGCCGAAAGGGGCAAACCATTTTATGCCATTAATAAATTCCGTAAGCGGGCAGCAAAAGCTTTAGGAGTATTAGCAAGGGAACTGACAAATGTTCTGGAACACAAACATTGTGAGGGTGATGCGAAGCAGGTAGGGGTCGTGTCAAAATCACGCAAATTAAAACATTTGGACAACTTTCAAAATAACCTTGTAAGGAAGTCTATCAACAAGCTCTATTCTGAAAACAAATACATGTCGCTGAAAATTTCCAAAAAGCATTTGAAGCAAGAACACAACCTCAGAGTATTAAAGTACACACTTTTTCGGGTATCGTTATATGAAAATTTCGGGGGAGAATAGGTCAGTACTCTGTGAACGCCCTGATTTCGTGAAATAATTTTCTCAGGGTTATAAAGAAGAAGCCCGAGGAAGGGTTCGAGCCAGTGTACTTGGACGAGACCTGGGTCAATGCCTCGTACACTGCCAGCAGTCACTGGGTACTCGATGGGGGTGATAAGGGGTCGCGTAGAAGGCTGCCTCTAGGGAAAGGAGAGAGACTGATCATTCTCCATGCTGGTTGCTCCAGCAAAGGCTTTCTCCCAGGCTGCGACTTGGTATTCAGGGCAAAGTCCACAGATAACAGAGACTACCATTCCGAGATGAATAGTAAGTTTTCCTCGAATGGGTTAAAAACAAGTTGGTACCAGCTCTACCAGAGAAGTCTTTTATCGTAATGGACAATGCCCCATACCACAGCGTGCAGGACCCCGACAGTAAAGCCCAGACATCGAACAGTCGAAAAGGTGACATGATATCATGTTCAAGAAATTGCATCGTTCATCCATCCTTCTGTACATCCTCTATAAATGCACATTACTGTTACACATAAAACTACAAAGCCAGTGTGCAAATTGAGAGTCCACAGTTCATACAATACCATACATCTTGACATACTGGTCATATTTCTTTGCATATCATGATAAGACGCAAGGAGTATATTCAGTGGTTGGCAGCAATTAACTTCTCTATGGGTATAACAACCGTAAGTTAAAAACCATATCGCCTGACAAAGCTGAAGTTATATTAAACAGGTCGACGAAAACACACAGAACAATTTTTTGGATGAAGTGTTAAACATAATGAAAAACATCCCCAGTACTGACGGACAATGGTAAACTGTGTTTCGATATTCCAAAAATCTGCAGCCTTTGGTGTCAGTGTTTACAGCTTTTGAGGTTCACGATTTCAGTCAGTCAGAGTCATACCACGCTATCTCGAAAGTAGTTCAATAAAGGTTAGAGCAGAACATATCAGTAAAGCGGTATATGATGATAAGCGCGAGAACGATATCTCAATAACCCAACAAGACTCAATATCTGATTCATCCTGTGTGTTCCCGTGTTTGCTTGTCTTTGAACATTTGATCTTTGCATGCGTTCGTGATATCTGCGACCGGTAGGGGAGGATACACTGATTGTTTTGTGAACATCTGAAATCACCATTTATTGACATTGATCTATATTATAGAACGTCAATGGTAAAGAAAACTAATGATTAGAATGAACACTGTCACCGTACATTGAATGGTTGTGTCGTTTTTGTTTTTCTGTTTTATGTTTTTTGTTGTTGTTGTTTTGTTTTGTTTTGTTTTGGGTTGTTTTGGGGTTTTTTTGGGGGGTTGGTTTTTGTTGTTGTTTTTGGTTTTTGTGGGTTTTGGGGGTTTTTTTGGGGAGTCGGGGGTAAGGAAAAATGCAAGAATCACATTCAGGACGAATTCGAAGTTCAAACCATCACAGGATAATTAACTAAGTACAGATTCAGCCAATAATATGTGAAAATTAGTTAAGGAAATGTACTCACGTTGAAGACAGGTGTCAGTTAGCCACCCTGGTTCACAATCTCCGAGACAGATGCCTGTAGTCTTGTTACAATCAGCGGCGTTGAGGCAGTTTCCACACTCGGTAGTGCAATTTCCGTAGTAACCATCTGGACACTCTGCAGATGAAGCAAACGAATCAGTTGTTCAATTAAATCAGACATTTGACATACGGATTGCATAAACCTTATATATCATTGCTTTTTATGATAATATGACATAAATAGGTTCCTGAGACATCATCGGGATTTACAAAGAAGGCACATGATATTCACAAACGCCTTGCATGTGCCAAATGTGTATGCATGTAAACTTTGATCGAAGCTGACAAAAAGTACTGAGGATGGCTTAAAGTTTACGATGCTGGCCAGGAGATGTAATGATTTACATTCCACCTGCATAATATATACTTCATTTTATAAGTTAAGATTCACTGGTGTAAATATAGCCACTTACTTCAGGCTACAGTTCTACACTAAATGTTGCAAAATAGTCCATACTGTTTAAAGGTACTGTTAACACATGAACTGATTGATGTATTGTAAAACAAATTCGTAACGTTGAAAATATTATTGCCATGAGTTCAATAAATGATGAAAATCAGTGAAAACTGGCGTTTATATATATGTGTTATATATACATAACAAATAGTGACAGTTTTAAATGAGTCTAAACTTTTGAAAGGAAGTATACATTGACTGACATATTTTAACACAGTTTACACGTTGCACTTTATACTGTTAAAGGGGAACATGAATGTTAAAGATCATAGCAGTAAATACAACAATGTATCTAAAGCCCGTTCCTGATTCCCGTCCTTTTTCTAGTGAGTGAATTTAGTGTTACGCCGCACTCTGCAATATGCCAGGTATATGGTTGCGGTCTGTAACTAATCGAGTCTGTATAAGACAATCCAGTGATCAACAGCATAAACATCGATCTTCGCAAGTGGGACACAATGATATGTGTCAACCAAGTCAGCGAGTCTGACCAACCGACCCGTTAGTCGCCTCTTACGGCAAGCATGGGCTACTGAAGATCAATCCTAACCCTGATCTTCACGGGTGTCTTTTTACGAGGGTCTCAGCCCCATGACTTATTTACTAGTTTGTCACAGCCAAAATATTTGCTCAGCTGACTCATGTTTGATCTACCGCCATAACATCATGTAGGGTTCACAAGAAAATGTCAATATTACGGAATATATGTGAGGCTCAGAACCTGTACCTGTTTGGCAGTCCGTCCCCATGTATCCTGGAGCACATCCACTCAGACACTGTCCAGTGATCTTGTCACATATTTCTGTGTTTACAAAACAGTGACACTGTTTGTCACAGTCCTCACCAAACCAACCGTCACTGCAAACTGAAACGTGAAAACAATTGTTAACAATAGATGATCATAATTGGGCACAAAATCCCTTCAAAAGTGAAAAAGTAACACCGTGATTAGACGAAAACAGGAAGATAATTTCCTATTAAAGGCATTATATGTATTACATCTTCTGTTCCATTTCGAGCGTTGTTATCTTGAGACTTGCACTTTACACTGTGCAGTCGTCTTGTTAAATAAGTGAGTTTCTGTTGTGCTCACATGTTTACATGTTCACAGACGTATGTTAACCTACCAAATATCTGCACCTCGCACAATGCGAGATACTCGCTTGTCTGTATGATTAGCGTGTTTCCTGTCAGTGCTTGTTGACATTTGACATCAGCTGAAGCAGGCGGGTATCTGTCCGTTGACCACTGGAAGCAAAGCTGTCCACCGACATTTATCTTCATGCCCTTGTTTCTGTCGAGGACTGCATTTCAAAGTGAAAATATGCATTGCTTGATGTCAGATATCACATTTCATAAGGTAGTAGATCAACATGTGAAAAGGTAGAGCAAGTATTAGTATGCACAAACACAAGTCCAAAAGGACAAACAAGTGTTGACTGAGGACCCCGAGTAGCCATGACAACAATGCATCCGCACGCACCTGTTATTAAGCATTACAAGGAGTACATCAACAATACATGATGTTTTAATGGTTATTTAGTCAGAGATAATAATAGGTGAGTGAGTGAGTTAATATTTAACTCACATCGGCAATACCTCAGCCATATCGTGACGAAAACAATTCATACAATGAAAAGTGAAAATATTTTGAAGATTAAAACCTGTCGACGATGGACAGTAAAAATACTAGATAATCACAGATATAATATAAAACTAGCCACCAAAGCTAAAACATTCCAATAAAAGAAGACAATACAATATAAAACACGGGTTGTAGATCGCCAACAACTGAAGGTAGATCACCATACTAGGTACTATGGGGACATTCACTACTTTTGTTACCTCGCATGGAGCCTAGCTGGATTTACACCATCCCTTCAGCCGCTGGCGATTGTAGGATAATTTAGCCGAAATTTAAAAGAACAAAAATACTACGTTTAAAAACTTGGTACGTGAATGTTACTGTGAAAGTGTTCGGGACTTACGTACCCCAAGAGAATAATAGATAGTTGAGCCCAATACATTTTCAACCCATACTCACAGCCATCACGTAGATACAGCTTAATGTGTTGTATCTTGTCTGTGTGAGAGCTGCTCAGATGTACAGTCCATGTTGGTTGTTTATCTCCTGTGGCCGTATGTGTACATGTGAATGGTTTGCTATAGAAGTTGGTGGTAGCTCTGCCATCTACGCCGTACCTGGCCTCGAACCTGTAATCTGTATACCCTGTCCTGTCACTGTTTTCAGTGAATGTACTGCTCTGTGTGGCACGTTGTCCTATAGCAATATTTCCTGAAGAAAGTGAAAGCATGTACAACATCATCAGCATAAGACAATGGTGGGAGTAACGGCCTTTGCTTCATTGTACGGTAACAGTTAATGCATGGCCGTGTATATTGTTTCACAATGTATATCTGACTTACACATAGCTGGGCTTTAGAAATCCGCATTTCGTAATACAGACACGAGCAAATGTGATATGAAATTATATTTTTCTTCGCAACAACTGAGTATCATATTGAGCGTACATAGAGAAGAGTCCCTCTCACACGAACCCCGAAGTGGAATACAGTACCTGGCCATAAGTATTCGTGATTTTGGAAATGACGTTGTTTTTGCTATAACGAATGCGCCGTTTAGAATCGCACCGTGAGACACTTTCAGTGTTCAGAAACGCTGATTTTCTAAAAATAGATTCCCTGTCAAGTGCCTGTCACGTGACATGCCTACAAGTTATCGTCCGCTTGTTTACTTCCACTATGGCAATCGTCTGCGCCAATGGGTCGTAAATCACATGAATTAACAACTGACATTACAGAATTGATTTTAAAATTATACAAAGAAGACAGAAAAATTACAGAAATTGCTCAGCTGTTGGATAGATCTTGATCAACTATAAAAAGTGTGGTAACAAAATATCAAGTGACTGGCTCAGTGGAAAACAAGCAGCGAAGCGGACGAAGAAGACTATTTACTCACCGTGATCGAACGTCGTTGATCAGGTGTGTCAAAAACAATCGTCGGGCAACATTGGGAAATATTACAAACAAATTTAACGAAAATAAGACTCGAACATTCAGTTATATCGAAGGATATGAACGACGGATTGCCAAAAAATCAGTGTCAATTCGGGAAGCTAACTTGAAAAAACGCAGATTGTGGTGTCGGGAACGCAGGAATTTTACAGTTGATAATAACTGGAGTAAATACATTTTTTTGACGAAAGTCAGGTTTTTATTTGAGGTGACAAGCGTGTGTATGTGTGGAGAAAGGGCAGTGAAGTAAACCGGCCGCATTTAGTGTGTCAGCCCTCGCAACGTAAAGTGTCTTTGATGATAAGGGGGGGTGTCACCTTCAAGGATTGGAACTCTTACCCCAGAAAATGGTAACATCAATGCTACAAAGTATATAGACATCTTGAAAACAATCTTTGGCCAGTTATAGCCCGTCATTATACACACGAGCCATGTGTATTCATGGACGATAATGCTCCCGTACATCGGGCCAGAATTGTGAACAACTACAAAGAAGAAAATGGTATTATTGACAAAGAATGGCCCCCACAGTCTCAGATCTCATTATAATTGAAAATATCTGATTAAAATTAAGAGGCGGTTGCAGCCCGCCGCACATCGCATCAACAAACCTGGCGAACTTTACGCGAAATTCTGCGGGTGTGGGAAAATCACTTACTGGATCATGTTAGAAACTTATATCGGACTTTACCTGACCGTGTACGGGAAGTGCTGCATATGAAGGTCAACTGACAAAATATTTAGGTAATACCTTTAAGCGATTCCCGTGCGCATGAAATCGTGAACGTCAAAATCACGAATACTCATGGCCAGGTACTGTACATGTATATCGTACGCTTTCTTGGGAAACGTTGAACCAACATGTAATGGAAACTCATACAAAGATGATCTCCAGAAAGGTGATCCAGCCTTGGTTGTTTGTGGGCTATAGCCTAGTTATAGACTGTGCTAAAAAATATTCTTAAAGAATACTTGTTTTAATTTTGTTTGTATTTGTTATTTATTAGCTGTGATACTTAACCAGTCTATCTAACTGGGTCTGTCTGAGGGTAATATGCGACACACTATGGCCAGGATTATTTGTCATTATTTGATATGTCTGTATGTCTAAGTACACTACAAATGGACTCAGATACATCTTTTATGTAATCAAATGCAAATGTCCTCTACTCACGTCTCTGGCAGTAGGAACCGAACCATCCGTCCTGACATCCGACCTGGCTACAGGGAGAAGAGGGGAACACAGCACAGGCAGCTGCAGTGTTACAGTGACACGCGGCATCTGAAGGTATGATGAAAATAAGAAAATTACGCCATGTTTTGATACTTTAGGGATGTGTACATTTATATATGAAAAGAAAACATTTTCATCTTTCCGTGACCAACCTCTTGGCTAATTCTACATAATATTTAGTCCTAGCTAATGATACATGATACGCGATGTCAGACAGAACTGTTATATCCAGGACATGTCAAGCACAACTTGGAAAATAGTACCAGATGCATAGTTCATACTAATGATAGCATACCAATAGTGAGCGAGTATTTCAGCCATATCGTGCCGAAAACAAGTTCTAAATACATTTGAATGTATTTAGATTATAAAAACTTGTATTTCTCTCCGAACAATACTATTAAAAAACTGGCTATAGATCGCCAGCAACTGAAGAAAGACAACCATACTTGGGGCCATGGGGACTTTAGCTACCTCCATGGTCATAGCATACCGATAACCCCTGTTAAACGTCCTACCGGTGGGAGTCCCAGTGATGGAGAAAAACAACATAGTCGTCAAAAACACCCCCATTGTGTCTTGTGTTTGCTCCCTCAGGGATGGAACCTGGAACAAAACAGTCATATTTCCTACAGTGAAATAATAATAATAATGCGAAAATGTGTATAGCGCCTGAATCCAACGTTTGCTCTAAGTCGCTTGGTCGAAAGCTCTGTTGAAAAGAACTGTTTTTAGTTCTTTTTTGAATGGAATGATGTCTGACAAGTTTTTTTAAATTTTCAGGTAGTTTGTTCCATAACAGAGGACCTGCTTTCGCGAAAGCTCTATCGCCATAATTCGCTCTGCGGGTAGAGGGCACTACTGCGTGTTTTTCAGAGGCTGATCTCAGAGTTCGTGATGGCTGATACAATTCTGCAGTCTAAGTAAACTTAGTCTCAGTAGTATTCGTTACACTCTTACACCGAGTCTAACAAACCCTAGTAGGAGGTCGCGTCAGATAACTTTTGAGCCACCTATGACCGTCCAATCAAACGCGAGATGGCCGAACGGATTTAACCAATCAGGCAACGGCTACTGTGTAGGGTTCGGCGGGACTTACAAAATTACCCGGTCACTGACACTGATCTCTCAACAAACGAAAATCCGCATAAAACACAGATATTTGACCTGCAGTCTGATGACATGGTTACCATTAGCTAATATTTCCACAAACTGACATCCTTGAATATTGACAATAACGCCATTTTCAGCGACTGTTTACTCACTGTTGACAGTGTTGTAGCGTGATCCATGTGCATCACCCGGAAGCGATCGTTCGGGTACAAGCCTTTTCGAGGTAAAAGTTCAAAATGTATGTGCGATTTGGCGATTTGGTAAGCTGTGATCTGATTGGTCAATCTCAAAGGTTACCTGACGCGACCTCCTACTAGGGTCTGTTAGACTCAGTAGAGGAGTGTAACGAATAGTACTGAGACTAAGTTTATTTAGACTGGGTATTATGGAGCTTGGTTGTGAAGGTCCTTGTGCACGAACACCAACACCTTGAAGACAATTCTTTGTCTGATTGGTAGCCAATGTTGGCGTGATGTGTTCATATTTGCCTGCACCAGTGATGAGTCTTGCTGCTGCATTTTGTACTCTGGTAAGTTTGTTGATAGTTTGCTGCGATATGCTAAACATCAGCGAGTTGCAATAGTCCAATCGTGAGATAACCAGTGCTTGGACTAATGACTGGATAGGTGATCTGTCAATGAAGTGCTTGATTTGGCTGATGTTTCTCAGATGGAAAGAGGCGGATTTACAGACAGTGTCTGCATGCCGATCCATACTCAGGGAAGAGTCAAAGATAACTCCGAGGTTTCGAGCTTGAACACTTGGTGATATAGTGCTGTCTCCTATCTTTAAGGTTGCAAAATCCGTTTTCCCTGACAGAGACCTTGGCCTTAGGATCAAAAGTTCTGTTTTGTCATTGTTCAACTTCCGATAGTTGGTAGACATCCAACATCTTATGTCGTCGATAGCTTTACTCATTAATGCAAATGTAGACTTAGCAGTGCCAGATGATGTTTTCAGAGGCTTGAAGCCTACGTACAACTGTGTGTCGTCTGCATAAAGGTGAAACGATAGGTTATGCCGTCTAGCAATGTCCCCTACAGGCAGTGTATATACAGTAAACAAGACAGGTCCCAGGACATAGCCTTGGTGAATCGTATTGTTACTAACTGGTAGCGGTCAGAGTGTTACTGACTGGTAGCGGTCAGAGAGAAAGGATTCAAACTAGTCCAAAGCTGTGCAGCTGATTCCAATCCTTGATTCCAGTAATAGAAGATCGATAGTGTCAAAAGCAGCATATTGACATAATAAAACCAGTATTGCAGCACCCTGTAATTCCACAGCATTTTGTAAGTCATTCTTACTTACATAAATGTAATGCTTACGTACATAATCATTTGGGACATGCTTATGCTCCCAGTCTGAAATGGGACGACTTGGGTGATAATCTCACAAACAAATACTAACTGGTACGTCAAAAATCAAATTGGTTTACACTTCCGATTAAACCCTGTGGGATGAACATGTTCACCCAGCCAATTGACCCGACCTCGTTTTCGATCTCACCTCATTCTATGATAAATCTCTGCTGACTTGACATTCAGCTGATTGTATATGTGGAACGCGCAGAAGAGTTCAAGTATACAAATCTATTGTTGTCTTAGTTGAGTAAACTCTAAACCGATGCCAAAACGTTTGACAACACAGATATGAATATCAAACAAAATATATAACTAAACATAACATCTGAACGGCTTCATTTGCATCTTTGCTATCGTTGTGTTTGTTTTGGACGACTCTTTAACTTTTAAGTTTGATATTATCACTTGGTTATGGACACGGTTATATTTGCATCTTTCTGTAGTCGCCTTGTATCAACCAGAGGTTTATACTCAGATATTTAGATATACTGAGTATAAACTGTTTTACTGTTTCTATGTATCAAACTGATCATGTATACCAGGAAGAATTGTTATCTGCTCCTTGTCAATTTGGCGTAGTGGATGAAAGAAAGTTCTGTCTTATAGCGTCATGGGTGTGCCCTTTTACCCCCGGGCTCAACAAATCATAGTGGATTTGACTCATTGTGTTACGTCTGTTTTAAGACTTGCCTGTATTGACGTGGGTAAAGAATGAACTATTTTCATGTTTTAATGACAATCGAGATGCAAACAATATAGACCGGAGAATATGCACTAATTATATAACTATTGATTAGCTCGCAAGTAATTAGTATCAAGGTACAGCCAACAGGGACATCCGGTTGTAACCGTTATATATGTTATGCTGCCCCACATGACATAGCTTGTATACAGACTGTTACACATTAGTGACTTCTAGACTGCGGTGAATCTGATAAGAATACGTTGTGATAGATGGGGGACACTCTTGTCATCAACCGTCACTCTGGTGTTTTCATATGTTCGAAGCTATGATTAGTGTATAATTTACTAAATGCGTACAGGTGTGCCCATGTAGATTACGAAAAAAGTAGCGACATGTATTATGTACCATGAGCGAAACAGGTATCCACAAACACCTCTCCCTATCAACACAATTCACCATGCAATGCACCCTAAAATACAATCGGATCAATATGTCACAGCCGTTCTCTTAGCATGCAGTACCCTATACGTCGCTCGCTATGTAAATATATTAAGCTGAGCGATTGTAGCACTGTCGTAGTACATCTTCCTTCAGAAATAACCGTATCTATCCTACATGATTATGATACACGTATACTACTGACATCAAGATGATACTGCATGTAATGTAAAACTTCATGGATACTCACCTGTACCCACGTTGGAAAAATACAGCGACACACAACCAGGAAGAAAGTTGTAGGGGAGGAGACTACATGTCTTCTGCACAGGTAACATAGGAATGTTTTGACATTTCGTTCAAGTTGATATTACCTCCTGGTTTGCAGTATACCTTGTACACAGTTTAATGTTATCGTTGAGGTGACAATGACGTATGTGTGCTATTTTGAACATAACATATAGTTATTATGAACTTGAGATCATGGTTATGCCTCAATACACATGCCATATATTCTCATGGGTTTGAGAGATTATCTAGTGACTCACACGGTATAGATTTTGTCATATGTGTGCCTCCTCAAACTTATATCTTTCCAAATAATGAGTTAACTTTGTAAGTTTGCGTTTAGGGGACCGCTCTTTTATTATTAAAGAGATAGTCAAGTATTTTACTTCCACCCACCCCTAAAACAGGTAGCACTTTGTCCGTGACATCCGCCACACCCTCCCCATAATAAAGGACCACAAATAATGTTCACATACAAACAGGAACGCACATACCCGCGCACACACATGCACGCACGCACGCATCACTTCTCATACTCTCTCAGAAGCCGCTTCTTACTGTTAATAAATGATAAGTTTCTTAGAGAATCCTTCACTCGTGTTGGTGTTTGAAAACGAGGCCCGTGCACTTGTATAGTGCTGACCACAGGTCATCATCAGGGTGAAACTGGGATCTCTAGCAACGTGACGAACCAACTTTGGATGAAAAATGAGACTGACCTACATGACAAAGGCTTCAGTCCTGCCCGACAACGAAGCACATGAGTGAGTTTGTTCAAACTTGCCTCTGTTCACCTAACAGAAAAAAATGGGTACCCGGTGGGGTGTGACTATTAACCTTCTAGCGCCTCACAGGCACTTTTGGGTATCCGGGGTAATAATATTCAGATTGTAGGTCAGCGCTTTGAGCACACGTTGGTGTGGAGTATAAGAAGCCATATTATTATCAACTGATTCATTGTGATGTTCGCTTTGCTACTGCACCGTGTTTATATTGGTAAGCTCCACCTCAATGTGTTAAAAGCAAGGTACAATAAGTGACAGTGGTGTAGTCGACAGAGGAATCCTGTATGTATCAATGTTTACATCAGATAACATGGCTCGACAGCAATCAACTGATTTATTGCCGGGATCACATAACTACCGTCACATATTTTATTCGTATGTTCTACGTCAATGTGGTTAAAGCAATGTACAGATCTTCCGCTTGAATTTATCATCTCAGCTTGCCGGGCCTGAAACCCATCCAGCTACCTTCGCTCTCGTATTGTGACATTTCCACCGAGAGAGAATAACCACGAGGATGGCTTTGTGAGAAAAATGATCGTGTTTGAGTAATTGAGGTCTCAGGTAACAGAATAAAGACATACACTTTGACAGTCGTGGACAAAGGTTGTTGTTTAATTCGTTGTAACTAATAAATATATTGGTTAAGGCGTAACTATCAATGTCTTATTGATTCTTATTATTATTCCTGTGTATGTTTGTGTTCTGGTAGATACAGATATGTAAAGGAGTCAGTGTGTGAGTATGGGTTTAGACGCTTTAGCAATATATCAGCAATGTCTCGGCGGGGGATACCAGAAACTGGCTTCACATACTGTGCCCATATGGGGAATGAAACGTTGGTCTTCAGCGTGACGAGCGGCCGTTTTGACCACTGGTCTACCCCTACCGGCTCGATGTGTTAAAGAATGTTCAACGGTAACTGGTTTCCAGAATGATTGAGTATGGTGTTACGCCACTTTTAGCAATATTTCAGCAATATCACTGCTAGGGACACCGGGAATGGGCTTCACACATTCTACTCATGTGGGGAATGGAACGTGAGGAGCAGGCGGTTTAACCGCTAGGCTATCCCATCGCCTCTTGCATGCAAGAGGAGATCTAATATATGTAACTTGAAATTGCTGTTCATGACACTACAGAACATGTGCACCTTTCAGCAACATGTCCGTCTATGTTAAAGGTGGTACCGACACTACGTGGTGACTACCAGCATCCCAAACACCACAGATGACCTACTAGCTGTAGATAAAACATAATTGAAACTCAAACATACAAAACACATAACCGCTATCGAATTAAATTTATTTCAAATCATAAATTCATGAGAAAGATATCAGTGATACAATGATAATGATAAATTAAATGAGTATATGGATTCTACATTTACATATACTACGCTTTCTGTGGTCATGGTCAGTGACCAGCATAACAGCGTGCTTAGCTCCTGAATGCATTTATATTACAAATCAAACAGGTGCACTAATAAATAAATGTACAGAACCGTAACCTAAATTCGTGGATAACCTTGATTCGTGGATCGCGGAAATTATCATGCTAGCTCGTAAATTAAGTCTCGACTGACGTCACGAAGCAGTACTTTTGATGTACATACAATGCCACGCCTCGCTGACAAAAAAGTTCCGAATCTGTGCATTACACGCAAGTAAATATAATTGTCCAGCATTGAGATAAATAGCCCCAGATCACTAATACCACCATTACCAAATGTTATTTTTACACAATGTCAAGCAATAAAGATACCGTTAGCTCCAACCTTCTCACTTCTCGTTGTCTGCTTTTCTTGGTGTCTATGCTTACTGCAGTGGGATGTCGTTCATAGTGGTATAAAGTAACCGATCCGCGACTACGTAATCCACGAAACAAAGTGACGTCACATTTTGTGGGCACACGAATGGGTGATGTATGCAAAATGGCTTCGTAAACAAACGTTTCATTCACGAGTGGAATATTAGGGATTTTCATTTCACTTACTCAACGAATAAAATAATCAGTGCGTATACAAAATGAAATCATGCATTTAAAATATTAATTTTGCCGCACTTCCCTTATATCCACGAATCAAGGTTACGCGAGTGTATATGATTTCATGACAAAGTGCCACTGAAACAGGTGCAAGATAGTGCGATGATGTAAACCCATCTACTGCATTCATGGGAGTGCACAACCAGAACGCCAATCTTGATAGCAAAACATCAACGTCAGTGTCGCCAGAGGTGCAGACAACAAGACGGACAACAACACAGTGGAGAAGAATCTGCTTTGACACTCATATGTACCATTTGCTTCTTCATCAACCCGATAGCAAGACGTGTTTCCATGCGTGGAGGTGGACCATACATGACGTCATATGTTTTTGAAAGTCATCATGACGACAGAACGGTAATCGTGACATGACGTTAAAACGGTATTCTTACCGATCATCTGTTGATCATGATCACACAATCACAGTTCTTAACACCTTAACATGGCGTGTTGTTCAGTAATTAGTAACCTAACGTGAGTATCTGTGGTTCCACATTTTGAAATATTTATTCATATACTCGTGTAATACTCTTAATATATTTAAGAGCCTACTTTATAGTAATGTAGACCAAGACATGTCGCTTTATATAACTGCATTTGATCACTTTAAATGCGGCTCTGAGGATCTTCCCCTGTATTGACATAAGGATTGGTATTCTTAATCTGTTCATATGTGTTCTCCACAACCGGATCCTTGGTCCTCTCGTCTAGAGATATTTAGTTATCTTCGGGTTTCATTTGTAAGGCATCCAGTTGAATCAGTCTGTAATATACAGGCATATGCTTGTAATATACAAGGTGATTCTGTACTGTTGATGTTTATCTCTTGATAAATATCAGATATAGTAGCATAGTAGTGGGAGAAACACAGGTGTAGGAGAACCATGCCTCTCGGAGCCTCAAAACGGTCCTATCCAGTTCCCAGTGCCTACTAATATATCGTGGTGGACCTCTTTTGGTCCTCCATTCTGCGTATGCATAAAAATACAACATACAGCGACACGTAGCCTGCGACCACAGAAGACAAAACGTAGCCCAACACACACCCAGTAGTATGACGATAGGGATTCTGGCTCACTGGCCCTGATCGTGCCTTTTCGCTCCAATTTGGCTCCCAGCGTCAAATCAAACATTGTGATGGACTACTTTTCTGTATGTTGGACTACTTTTCTGCGTGTCGGAGTAGTACAGTAGTGGGAAACCCGGTGGAGGTGACCTCCTACCTCCAGGAACCTCCAAACGGACTGAACAGTGAAGGTCCGGGTTAGAATGAACCTTCAGTAACCCATGCTTGGCGAAAGAGGCAACTAATATGATCGGGTGGTCAGGCTCGCTGGCTTGGTTGACACATGTCATCGGTTCCCAATTGCGCAGATCTAGCTCATGCTGTTGATCACTGGACTGTCTGGTCCAGAACGCCGCCATATAGCTGGAATATTGCTGCTAGCGGCGTAAAACTAAACTCACTCACTCCATACGGACTAGAAAGCTGGACAGAGGTATTCGAGACCCTGCTGGAGAAGTGTCCCCATCTATTACTTTTCGACATAGAGAAACAAATCCTAGAGCAATCGGGACACACATTCTACGTGCGATACCAGATCCATAGGCAGTTTCTCGAACAGCATTTACTGTGCTTTCGCCGATTCGTAGAGGACGCCATCAAAAATGTAGATTTTGTTTACCTATATCCATCAAACCAATTTTGACCTTGCGCAGACAAACTGCGAATCGTTCTCGCCTTCATCACATCCACTCACGCAGATTCCGTTAGTTTTGTCACAGACTCTGTCGGTCTTGCAGTGACCACATTCTGACGTACAACCGCTGCCGTACCTCCCGTCTTCACACACTGAAATAACGAGTATGGCATCACAAGTCTCATTTACGTGTGTCTGTTTGTGTTAGAGGAAACGTCGTATACATTGAAGTTGTAGCTAATGTCCATGCAAAGACAGAACTGTGAATAACAACCCGTTAGAAAGACGTAACAAGCATTGCAACGTGTGGAATAATAACGTCTCATATTATAATAATCCGGACGTTCGCTCCAATACAATTTGTGCTTGGAAAACAGACAAGATCTAAGTGTGGTCACACAAAGCCATGGAGATGTGGATGCATGCATGGAACTACGAATTACATTTCAGAGCTGGTTGACTTTCTGCAACGCATTTCCTACTCCCCTTTTCAAGGCTTCTTTCCATGCTTTCTTGTTACCGTAAATAATTTCTTTCTCGTACTTATTAACTGAATCATTCGAAATCTGAGTGCATCTTTGTTTTGCGCGGTATGCGCTTTTTAATTTGGGGGCGGAAGACCGGCTTCCCTTGAGAGATGGGGTAGGAACACGGACAGGACACATAGACGGCTCGGCGCCGAAGCTCAAAGGCAAAAGGCATCACGGATTTATAACCTGCATGTTTGCACAGGGAAAATAAACTTCCTGCAAATAAACTCGTGAAATAATTCTTTTGGTTTTTTCCACGTAAATGAATTGTGCGATGTTATACACAAAACAGTGTTTTACTCATTTGATCACGTATGAAAATGTGCATTTGATAGGTGATGAACATGATAGAAGAGATGAATATGATAGTACATGCTGACTGATACCAACATCATATATTGCAAGTATGAATACTCTGGATGAGACATTAATATGAAACAAATCAACCGTTTACTGTTATGACACGTGTTATCCATCCACCCTGCTGTACATCCGTTGAGGCATGTTCTCGTTGACTTGTTACATACATCTTTATTCAGACAGTTTCCATATTTGGACATGCAGTCATTACCGTAGTAACCATCTGGACATGCTGTGAAAAGAAGTACGCTTCAAATGAAAGGACACAAGTTTTACCTGAAACAATGGGTATAATAATATACATAACTAGAATATAAATAGGAAACCTTGTGACATACATATGTACTAGTCTTCAAATCTCTGATGTAAATACACAGTACTCATCTCGTCCTGCTAGAAAGTGTTTTCATTGCAATTGTGCGTTTAAGGTATCAACAGAGTATATTGTGTACAAGTAAAGAGAAGGTTTACCGTGAAACGATCACGAAGAGGCTACGTCACAGTTGTCATATCCAGTTGTTATTTAAGGATATGTTAAGTCTTTTCATATAATTGTATCTGCTTTGATATGAGAACACAGTCCAAGATGTAAATCACAAGGCAAGGCAAAATACCAACCTGATTCAGGGCACAAGCAAACCTTCCTCATTACTTTTCCCCGCACCAACCAAAAACGCTACAGAAATGAAGTCAATAACGAAACCGTATGGTGACAAATACTAAATAATGTTACCAGAATGGAATATATGCAATGGAATATATTCCGTTTAATGTTCATGAGATCATTAATGTATATGTATACTACACAGGAGCAACTTACCCTGATAACATGTGTCATTAATCCACCCTGCTGCACATCCTCCAGGACATGTTCCATTTGTCTTGATGCAAACATTACCATCCTCACAGTTGCCACACTGGAAGCCACAGTTCTTACCATAGTAGCCACTCGGACATGCTGTGAACAAATTGTTTGCTCATGGTGTCAATGATATTTGAAAGGACGTAGATCAATATGTGGCTTAATTATCTTCTATATTGCCATGGTGACCAAACGGAATTAAAAATATTAATTTAAAAAATCACACAGGATGTGGCCCACAATTATATGTCTAAAAGGTAAGAAATATACAAACAAACACTGTCGTTAGCTCAATAGCGTACCCATGTGGGGATTCGAACATGACGAGTCAACGCTTTAACCATTAGGCTACCCATCCGCCCCTTTCATAGAGACACTTCATATTGGTGTCACAGACTATTTTTCATTTATCGAAGTTTGAATTATACATGATGTAATTGGCACAACGCAACCAACATGCATTGTTTAACAAGACTCAATGTCTATATTACATTTGCATAACTTGCACTCTCCCTTTATCTCGGCCAATATTGTAACAGCTCATGCTTTGATGTCTTCATAACACATACGTTCTCATTCTACGAAATTGCAAAGTGATTCCATTGATTCTTGTCAAAAACAAATTCAAGTGAGTGAGTGAGTTAATATTTATCGTCACATCGGCAATATTTCAGCCATATCGTGACGAGAACATTTTAGGATTATATTAAAGATGAATAACGTTAGAAATTTAAAAACCTGTTGACGAAGAACAGTAACACTACTAGTGTATCACAGATATCCATTTAAAACTAGCAATTAAATCTAAAATATTGGAACTATAAATTACAATACAATATAAAAACAGGCTGTAGATTGCTAACGACTGAAGGTAGATCACCACACTAGGGACCATGGGGACTTACAATACATTTGCTTCCTGCATGGACCCTAGCTGGATTTACGCCATCCCTTCAGCTGTCAGCAAGTTTAGACAATTTAGCCATAAGTTAAAATAACCCATATTCTACGCTTAAAAATAATGGTATGTTTAAATTTACTTTGAATATTTCGGGTCTTACGTACCCTCTCAGGAGTAGAATAAGTTTACAATACTTCAACCCCCTGTGAGGATACAGCCACTAACAATTTCAGCTGCTCAACTAAACTACCAATTTTAAAATATTTATCTATTTACAATTCATTCAACAAATCTAATTCTTTTAAAAATGCAATAACTAAATGAGAACTGACATGACTAAAAAGATCTTTCATCGTTCGTGATTTGAAATAGTTATCCCTTGTGATGGAATGTTCAATACAGTCAAGCAGGACATACTTGACCGTGATTCTTTCATCACAAGGGATGCAAAACGGAGGATCCTCACCTTTTAACAGGTATTCATGAGTATATCTAGTATGGCCAATACGACATCGTCGTATGATGACCTCTTCAAATCTGGACTGACAACCCAAGTAGGTATAACCAGCATAAGGTTTTATTGCATGTAATTTATTAAGTCCCACTTCTCCTGCATCAGATCGCGGATATAACATCTGATGACTGCTTTATAATCAGAGTGTGGAATAAAAAGTGGTGTCACAGATTTGTTGAGTGCTGACTTGGCAGCAAGATCGGCCATTGTATCCCAGAAATGCCAACATGGCTGGGTAACCAACAAAAGACGATGTCGTACTGGCAAATAGCAAGCTCATTATATAATTCAATAATTTCTATTGAAAGTGGATGTTTACAAGAAAGATTTAAATAGCCTGAAGGCAGGAAAGAGAGTCAGAAAAGATTATAAATTGTTTATGTTTAGGGTGTCTTTGAATATATTCAAGCGCTGTAAATATGGCGTTTGCTTCTGCTGTAAAAACAGAGCTGTTATCCGGTATTTTAGAAGATATTGTTCTGGATCCAATGACAGTGGCACAAGCCACCGCGCCACCATCCTTGGACCCATCTGTACATAAGGCTCTATATGCATTATATTTACTTTTTAGTAGATTATATTCTTGTTTATATTGTAGTTCATTCGTTTCGGATCTTTTAAACGTTGTCAGTGTTAGGTAAACTTGTGGCCTCACTAATTGCCAAGGAGGAGAAGAAAGAAGTCGGGAAGGGGTTATATTTTCCAGCTTAATGCCAGCAGCGGAAAGGAAAGGTTTGACTCTTAGTCCTAGAGATGGAACTAGAGAAGACTTTTTATTGTACAGATCCTGATAAAGAGGATTGAAAACACAGTCAAATGCAGGATTAGACTCATTAGAATAGAGTTTTGTTATATACTGTAAGGGTAATTTTATACGACGTTGGTTAAGTGATAGCTCATCTGCCTCAACATAGAGACTGTCAACAGGGGAAGTTCTAAAAGACCCAAGACAAAGTCTTAGGCCTTGGTGGTGAATAGAATCTAATAGTTTTAGGTTGCTGTTGCAGGCTCCACCATATACGATGGAGCCATAATCAAGTTTGGAGCGGACTAGTGATCTATATAGGTGTAGGAGGGTAGTATGATCCCCTCCCCACTTTGAATTAGAAACTACTTTCAATAAATCCAGTGCCTTCAGGCATTTATTTTTAAGGGATTTAATATGCGGCAGAAAAGTTAAATGGGAGTCGAAAATTAGACCCAAGAACTTGGCCTCTTTTACAACTTTGATTGGAGTGCCATTTAAATTTAGTTCTGGGTCCTTATGTGGCTTATATTTTCTACAGAAGTGTATACAATTAGTTTTCGACTTAGAAAATTTAAAGCCGTTCTCAAGACACCATTTTTTATTTTGTTTAAACATAATTGCAGCTGCCGTTCAAGAGTATGCATCTTTTTACCACGACAAGAAATATTAAAATCATCCACAAACAGCGACCCATCGACTGAATCATTTAAAACCTTGGCCAAACTATTTATCTTTATACTAAAAAGTATGACGGACAAAATGCTGCCTTGTGGGACACCCTGATCCTGATTGTAATGATCAGACAGGGTTGAACCCACGCGGACTTGAAATTGCCTGTCAGTTAAAAACTTGGATATGAATTGAGGCAAACGACCTCGCAATCCAAAATTGTGTAAATCTCTTAAAATCCCATGTTTCCAAGTAGTGTCATATGCTTCTTCTAAATCGAAAAAAATCGACACTGCATGTCGCTTTTGAATAATGGCATTTTTAAAAAGATTCTAAACGCACTAAATGATCGATAGTACTTCTGTTTTTACGGAAACCACATTGAATATCCGTTATAAGGTTATTGGTTTCCAAGTACCAAACAAGTCGATTATTTATCATGCGTTCCATGGTCTTGCAAACACAGCTAGTTAGTGAAATCGGTCGATAATTCGAAGGATCAGTATGGTCACGTCCAGGTTTAGGGATGGGAACAATAATAGCATCGCGCCATGAAGAAGGAAATTTTCCAGATGTCCAAATAACATCAAAAATGTTTAAGAGGGTCTCTAAGCATGATTCCGGTAAGTGCTTCAGAAGCTGATAATGTATGTTATCAGCCCCTGTAGCAGTATCGTGAGCCTGGTCAAGAGCAGTATGAAGCTCATGAATAGAAAATAGTTCATTGTAATCTTCCCCATTATCTGAATCGAAATTAATAGTTTTCTTCTCCTGTTGTTTTTTATAATTTTGGAATTGAGGTAGATAATTCGATGAGGAAGAGTGTTTGGCCAAAGTTTCTCCAAGTTTATTTGCAATATCAGATTTACTAGTTAATAATTCGTCTCCGTCTTTAAGATGCTTAATGCTAGATTGAGAACCCTTACCTTTTATTTTCTGGATCATATTCCATACCTTTGAGATCGGCGTTCGCGAATTTATTTTTGATACATAATTTCGCCAGGACTGACGTTTACTTTGCTTGAAGGTACGCCGTGCCTTAGCATTTAAAATTTTAAATTTATTCAAATTATGGACCATAGGATGGCGACGGAAATAATTCTCAGCTTTCTTCCGTGCCTTCCTAGCCTGTTTGCACTCATTGTTGAACCATGGTTTTCGTATGTGTGGAATTGCAGAGGATTTGGGGATACACTCATCAGCAATGTTGATTAGTTCATCAGAGAAATCCTTTATAGGATCAGGACTTTCTATAAAAAGTTCAGGTTTAAGTCTGCTACAACACAGAGCTTCATACAAAGGCCAGTTAGCCTTTTTAAAGTTCCATCTTGAAGATGGGGTAATATCAGATGGGTTCACAGGTGTTAGAATTGTAGGAAAATAAGGCTCACTTCCACAGAGGTCATCGTGAACTGACCATTCAAATTCATTCAGTAGGTTTGAATCCGTGATTGATAAATCAAGCGCTGAATAAGTTCCAGTGCCAGGATGTAAATAGGTGTTGGAACCGTCATTGTATATGCATAAATCATTATCTGAACAGAACTCTTCTAACAGTTTACCTTTAGCATTAGTAGTTGTACCACCCCAAAGTGGGTTGTGACCATTTAAGTCCCCCATAATAATACAGGGTTTTGGCAGTTGGTTATATAGAGTTTGAAGATCAGTCTTCTGAATGACTGAAGATGGTGAGATATACAAAGAGCATAATGTAAATGCAACGTGTAAAGTGAGTCGCACTGCAACTGCTTGAAGATTAGAAGTAAGTGTAATAGGGCTATGGATAACATTCTGTTTGACTAGGATTGAAGAACCTCCAGTGGCCCTGTCACCCGGAGGTGAGAAATAATGATAAACATTGAAATGACGTAGGTCAAAAGGATCTGCCTGCTTTAAATAAGTCTCCTGCAAACAGAATGCTGACGGCATACAATCCTGGACTAATAACAGTAATTCATTATAATTATGCCTTAGTCCTCTGCAATTCCACTGTACAATATTATTGGAATAAACTATCTTTTCGGCGGATTTATTGGGGATCTACCCCGCACTTTTTGGAGGGCGACAAGCTGTGTGCCCTATATTGGACGTTTTCGGACACGTCCATGTCCTCAAGTGATCCATATTTGTTGTAAAGGTTAATTTTATTTTCAGACCCTTTTGGGGCTCTGCCACTTTGTTTTTTTTAATAATCAGGCTTAGGTTTATTCTTGCCTTTAGTAATTTGATGGACATTAGATAGCGATTGAGACTTTGTGGTTGACTGAGAGGATGCGTCAGGATCAGGAACTTGCTCTGATTGAGTTTGAGACATGCCAGAAAGTGGCTCCGCTGTTTGAGTCGATATTGCACTTGAAAAATCTGAGGAGAATCGGTTTTCACCCAAGTCAAACTTGTTTGGCAGCTTGAAGATGATTTAGGTATTTTAGGAGTTGCCTCAGATGGTGTCCTGGTTTTTGAAGCATATGTCTCTTGTTGGTCGCATCTTTGTACAAGTTGTTTCGCTTCGGCAAAACTAATATTTTGAGTAAATTTGATCCTGTTTATTTCCATCTGTCTCCAAATCGGACACTCTTTAGAGAAAGAGGGATGGTCTCCTGAACAATTGGTGCATTTTTTGTAAGTACTGTCACAATCTTCCGGTGTGTGTGTTTTCTCACCACAGTGAGCACACACAACAGACAATGTGCAGGTATTGACACCATGACCATACTTCTGGCACTTGAAGCATCTCAGTGGATTTGGTATGTATGTATCCACTTTGATGTGACAGTAACCAGCCTTTATTGACTTTGGAGCAGTCGGAGTGGAGAAAGAGAACAGATACGTATTGGTTAGATGGGTTTCATTATTTTTCCGGGTTGTGAAGCGTTTAACATATATAACACATTGTTCTTTCATCTCGGAGACAATATCTATTTCCAGCATGTCAGTAAAAAGTCTATCCCGGTCTCTTACTATGCCCTTGCTGGTGTTAAGCGTTCGGTGGGCAGAGACTGATACGGGAAGGCCGACAATGAGTCAGTTGACAGGAGGTTGGTAGCCTGTTGTTTTCTACTACATTCAAGTGCACCTGTCCGCAAACGTTTAATGTTTTTAACATCTCCTGCAATGCCTTGTATGCCTTTTGATACAGCAAAAGGGTTCAGCTTTAAAGGTGTTTTGTCAACGGTCTCAATCACAATGAAACGTGGCCAGTAGTCAATGGATGTGGGCAGTCTTTGGTCGTTAACATCAGGATCAGTGTCAAGTGGACGTTTCTTTTTTGTAATGGGGGTTTCGTAAGCCATAGTTATTGTTGAATGGTTCATCATCCGAGCTCCCCACCCTCCACGGAGTATCACAAGGACAATGCTAAAACAGGCGGGTTTCCAGCCTGCAGCACCAAGGATACCCGGATGATATACTCAAGCAGAATAATACAAAAGTAACTATTCCACCTGATTGGCCCATGAGCCACCGCCTTCTGCGCATACGACTCTAGGCAAAAACATGAAAGTGTGTATTTGAAATTCTAAAGTTCTAAAAATTCGCCAAGACTTAAAAATAGTATATTACAATTTTCAAAATTTTGTGCAACATTACATAATGTAATGCTCAGGGCTTGGCGTGACCAGCCGATTGGTTGAACCGGGCCCATTCAACCACCCGTCTAGGTGAAGTTAGGGCCAAAGTGGTGTGTTGGGCAATAGGAACACTGTTCCTGGTTCCTATTCCCTCAACCACCAGAATCCCTTCCTCCACCGACACAGGGGCGCAACCCACGGCAAACAGGTTGGTGGACCAAATATACCCCCGGGTCCACAACGGGGGTTGAAGAGCGCTTAGCATTACCCAGCACCCACCACGAGGAGGTGGCTCTTCACGGGTGCTCTCTTCTTTGATTGCACTACATACGTAAATTGCGTTTGTATGTGTTTATGACGGTTACCATCGGTTGTGCAGGATACATGTACAGTCAACCTTTCATGAAACCTTGGGAACATCAATGTATGATTCATAATCGCATTATATTGCCGGTACTGCTTTTAGAAATTATTTCCATTTAGGAAGCAAAAGGTTTTCTCATGCCTAGAATTCTTGCAATATGCATGAAAGCCCACATTTGCACTTTGGAGAAGCAATATGTACTCACGTTGAAGACATTTGTCAGTTTGCCACCCTGGTTCACAACCTCCAGGGCAGATGCCTGTAGTCTTGTCGCAGTAGGCAGCATTGAGTTGCCACACTTGAAGGTGCAATCTCCATAGTAACCATCTGTTCACGATGTAAGTGAGGTAGAATAACTTCGTAGTGATAAGTTTCAAATAATCTGATGCAATTTAAATATAAGGCATTTTTTAATAGAAAGTTCCCCCCGAAAGATAATGGCAATATTTAATACCACACACCAAGATACATATTGGAGTAGTGCATATCTGAAAAAAACAAGGGGGAGGTTATGCTTTACATTATTCCAACTTGGTAGATAGCAATTTATAAATCTTCAACACAATCCCATTGCGTTTTATTGAGTCTGAATAGCTTAGAACCTGTACCTGTTTGGCAGTCTGGTCCCATGTATCCTGGAGCACATCCACGCAGACACTGTCCAGTGATCTTGTCACATACTTCTGTGTTTTGTGTACAGTGACACTGTTTGTCACAGTCCTCACCAAACCATCCATCACTACAAACTGAAAACGAACATGATAGCAATAACATGAATACATAACAAACATGGAAAAATACTGACCCCCATCAGAATCACATAAAAAGTCATATTTCGTGATTAATGATGTTCACAATTAAAAAAAGATTACATTCCTTCAGAACTATAAAATATATGGCAATAAGTTCAAACGGGAAAGAAATCTGACATTAATAAAGTATATCTTATATATCGACTGTTTCATTACGAGGTCATACTTATGACCATGCTGTCTATAATTTCATTTACACTAAGACCTTCCAGCTTTATGCGAATCCTATTTCCACAATAAAGACACAATGGTATAAGTCATGTGCAATGTAACGCACTATCCCTCGAGAGACTTGTTTCACAGATACGGCTGTGTGGTTATTGCGTATAGATAGCCAGCCTATCAGTACTGTCTTAATCCTCATGGTTCCTGGACGTCACCTGGCTTTGTGGACTGTGATGATTTCAAAAAATATACATTGTACAGAAAAGTGGTACCGTTCGAACTTTTACACACAGTGTGGGCAAACTGTGCATCATTCATCTCGAGTCGATTGTCCTTCCAACATCGAATCTGAAAGGTTGGCACTGTCTAGAGATAGGAGAACGTGCCAGTATACTAAATTTGACAAATTAACTAAATCGTAAATTCGATGAATCAGAAAGGGCAAGTGAAGTCAAGTCAATGCTTTTTATCGGAAATCCAGATGTCCCATAATTCGTATCATTGTAAAAGATGATATGCATATCACAATTAAGTCAAAATACACCTTCAGTGATATTTGACGATGTATTTAATTTACATCTAAACATCAAATGTGTTCTCATATAACTTTGTCTATAAAATCACTGATAAAATATGCAAGCAGAAACGCTGGACTGAATTTTAAGCCATATTGCAAAGCATTATAAAATACATGCTTTTCGGCTGTTTTGTGCCTATTGCATCACGTATAATTCGAACTTCGATAAATGCCCTAATGCATGAATTCCTCTCCCCTGTGAAATGAAAAATGGTCTACGACACCAATACCAAGTGTTAACAAACGGCGTGCTCGTAAAACAATATTTGTTGGATATGAAAACAACACAAAGTTCAGATTTTACTTTAGTATTACTTTCCTATTGGCCAAATCATAACATCCATTGACTAAATATTGTTGTGATACTTAAAGTGAGAGTATGGTAGCAAGAATTAGGCAAATATGAATTAATGTATTTCAGAGAATTGGTACATTCAACAAAAGTTATCAGATGCACGCCATGACTGACTCTTAAAGGTAACGGTACTTTCCCTAATTTCTGACTATTGCCTTTGGTTACAACAAAAAATACAACACACAAATTTACATGTCACATGTTTGCAAATGCGATCCCTGAATCAACGAATGTCTTCTTCCTAATATTCCGCGTACACGTGTCGGTGAACCCACCAAATTGTGAAAGTCGCTTACGGATAGTGATGTCATACGTATGTCAGCGTTCTTACATATACTTGGTACGCTAGTTTTGGTGAATGAAAATACAAAAGATCAATCAATCCTGCTCTTTATAGTTCCAACCTTTTTGTGCATCTTTCGCATATTTTTCAAACTTTTCACACGATAACTTTCACCTTGGATATCTTTTGCATTGGGCCAATACAGAACGTCATTTGGTAAAGTTGTCAAATGTAACATGTTATGTTTGGAAATACTCTTAGGTACAGATTCGCCTAAGGAGAGTTAGGCGTCTGACTTTGTGTGCTGGTGATTAGGTGCCTCACGCTGAGGGTGTGGGTTCGAATCCCGGATGGGACTCAACCCTACAAAATTACTAGAATACAGCAGGCAAATCTAAAGCATATGACACCAATTACGTTATCATCTAAGAGGGCTAAATCTGTCTCATTATGGTATAACATTTCATTTGTGCAGATCGATGTTCATTATGTTCATCTGGATTGTCTGGTCCAGATTCGATTATTCACAGATCACTGCAATACAGCTGGAATGTAACGTCATACAACATATAAAGAAACTATTGAGGTCTCTATTTATGTCACAAACATGATTGTATATTTTCAAACACTGGTATCAACTAGTTCTAAAATTCGCGCACTTCCCATTACAGGCGGTCATCGTCTGATATAAGTGAATTACTGTTCAATTCAACGTTAAAATATGTCGCTCTCACACTCATAGGGGTATGTTAACCTACCAAATATCTGCACCTCGGATAGAGCGAGAAAATCGTTTGCCTGTATGGTGAGGTTGTTTCCTGTCAGTGCTATAACAGGCGGATAGGTGTTCGTTGACCACTGGAAGCAAAGCTGACAACCAACATATATCTCCATGCCCTTGTTTCTTTCCAGGTCTGCATTTCAAGGTGAAAAAGTTGATTTCAAATATCAAATATTACATTTGAGCACCATATCGATTCGCGCCATGTGACAAGGCACATTAAAAAATGTGTTTACAAGTAAAAATTCATAATAAAGTTACTGAGATATTGATGATCGTGATGACCCCGATGTACCTATACTGATATTCCTTATGTACCTGTTATTAAGCAGTACACGAAACACACTAATAATACATATTATTTTTAGTTAAGGATTTTCTGTGCCATTATACAGGACATTTTCCTTAATGAAAACCGTACGAATTTGTATTGTGACACCCATACTGACAGTTCTGACGTAGATACAGCTTGACGTGTTGTATCTTGTCTGTGTTTGAGTTCAGGTGCACAGTCCATGTTTGGACTCCCCCTGATGTATGTGCACATGTCAGTGGTTTACTTTAGAAGTTGTTGGTAGCTCTGCCATCCACGCCGTACCTGGCCTCGAAACTGTGTGCTGTATTCCCTGTCTCGTCACTGGATTCACTGTATGTACTGCTCTGTGTGGCAGTTCTTCCTAAGGCAATATTTTCTGAAAAATTTGAAACCATGCACATCATACACACACAACAATGGTCGAAATAACGGCAGAAGGTATATTGTGTTAAAAAAAACAGTAACTGAATAGAAGAGTACAATATTTCGTAGCATGTATTTGATTCATCAAAGCTGGAAATCTTCCATAATTAACACACATGGATTAAGGGTTACAGATATCAAGTGAACATTCAAATTAGAATACAGGCACCACTAAATATGATCTGACATGAATTGAAACTGATTATGAAATGGAGCGTACATAGTCAGGAGTCCTTCTAATACGAACTTCATCGCACAATACATTCATGTTTCCCGTTATCTTCGACGCCCGAAAAGAAACTATAACAAGCACGATGCTCAATTTCTATTTAGATTTGCAATCACTGTTAAAACACTGTCGTTGTTCTTTCAATAGCCTTTTCCAAGGTGTTAAATAAACCAGGAAGCTGGTAAATAACCTTATCCTTGTGAACCGAATTTTACATAGGGCCTCCAAAACCAGCATTACTCTTAGACATTATATTATTTGAGGTACGTTTTATACTTTTACTTGACACATCCTGCTGGGGAAACATGTAAGGAGCTGAAGCATTGCAAGTACCTTGGTCTACCTTTGGTTGCTCGTAGTCTTTAGCATAGTTTTAATATATACCAAATAATGAGAAATTGTTTCCATTTTGGATTGGTATTATTAGACATAAACTTTGATACTTGGTTTACTGCCATATGGCTTCGGCGTTTTTATATACGCCAACCTGTGACACTTGGAATAATGTTTTACTGTTTCGCGTCTGTCTGAGGGTAATATAAGATACATTGCCATGCTTGTGATTATTTGATGTGTTTATATATCTGGGAACAATGCAACAGTACTTTACGATATGGCTGAATTACTGCCGATGTTGACTTAAAATCTTAATTCACTCACTCATAAAAGGAAGTTGGGAAATACTGCAGACACAACGAGCAGATTGATTGTTAATGTGATTGAAATTACTTAGTTCAACCGGAATGAGGTCGATCGTCGATCGTGGATAAACCACGAGGGAAATGTCATTAATCACGTCTCTGACAGTAGGAACCGAACCATCCTTCCTGACATCTGTCTGGATCACCGACCTGGCTACAGGGAGTAGATGGATACACGGCACAGACAGTAGTGGGGTTAAAGTTACACTCAGCATCTGAAGAGATAATATACAAAGAAATTGATGTCATGTTCTTGACAATTCAGGGATATCTACTTATACAGATGAAAACCCCAGAAAAAAATGTATTAAAGGTACATTTATTCACAAAAAACTCAATATGTTTCAACTGACCACTCCTGACATTGATATTATGTCTAAGATAAAGGGATATCAAGGGTCCGATGCAACTGGTATATCCAGGATGCCATGTGCTATAGGAAATGTAGTGACAGAAGCATAGTTGACTCTAATTGTAAATAGGTGAAAACCCGAGAAACCAATGTATCACACGTATTCTCAAAACCTCAATGCTTCATCTGTCTGTTTTGGCAAATCTTACTTGATATTACGTATGTCTAAGCTAAACATGCACGATGTTAAGTGTCAGATGGCCTTGGTATATCCAGGATGTCGTGAACAATAGGAGATATAGTGCCTGATGCATAGTTTATAATAATGCTAACATACCAATAATCCCTATAAAACTTCCTACCAGTGAGAGTCCAAGTGATGGAGAAACATAACACTGTGGTCAAAAACCACGCCAATGCGTCTTTTGTTTGTTCCCTGGGGATGGAACCTGCAGTCACATTTCAGAATATGAAAAGCTTTCTTACATAATCATTCGGGGCATGCTTTTCCTTCCAGTCTGAACTGGGACGACTTGTGTGATCATCTTACAAACAATTACTAACTTGCACGTCAACACTTGAAAGACTCGTATTCACCTCTCCGACCAATCAAACATGTAGCCTTACACAGTCAAACACCGTTGTGTCGAACTCGTCGGGACTGAGGGACAAGTTCGACTTATCCGAGTGTTCGACACATCTGTCATCCTAGAAATGACCAAGTACCAACACGACCTTCGTTTATCTACTGCAGGCTATACATACGAACAATACATCTTTGCGATACATCAGTCAAATTTAGTTTCTGAACGTACACCTGCGATAAAATCCTGTGAGCTGAATTTTACCAATAAAGCCAATGTTCACCAAGCCATTTGACCCGACCTCGTTTCTTGATCTCACCGAAACAATTTCGCAACAAAATATCAACGTGCATGCAGGTATTCTATGATAAACCTCTGTTGACTTGAGTTCATTGTATGTATGGGACGTGAAAAACAGTTACTGTATATTATACATTTATAGCTGTCTTAGATGAGTACACGCTAAACTCATGCCAGAACGTTTGATTACACATATATGATTATTTAAACAAAATATATAAGTACACATAACATCTGAGCAGTTTCATTTGCATCTTTGCTTTCCTTGTGTTTGTTATGGACGCCTCTTAACTTTCATCTTTAATGTTATCACTTTGTTATGGACACGTGTTGTATTTGCAGCTTCCTGCAGTCGCCTTGCATCGACCCGAGTTCAGATACATTTAGGTGTATTCAGTATTGAGTGTTTTACTATTCCCCTGGGTATCGGACTGACAATGTATCCGAGGAGGGAGTGTTACCTGTTCCTTGTCAACTAGGGTGGTGAGTGAAAGGAAGTTCTATTGGATAGCGTCATGGGTGTGCAGTATCTTTAACCCTCGGGCTCAAACGATAGTGGAATTGACTCCTAGTGTTACGTCTACTTGAACACGTGGCTACATTGACGTGGGAAATAAGTGAAACACTAAACACTTAATGAAACTCGAAATACAAACAATGTCTTTCTGGGAATATGCACTAATTGTATAACAATCGACTGGCTCACAAGTAATCAGTATCAAGGCACAACCAATAGGGGCACCCGGTCATACCCGTGACGTGATGTTGCTTGACATGGCATATATGCTGTTTCGTTGATATTGAGCATTACACAGACAGGTACAAACCAGTGATTTCTCGACCCCAATGAATCTGATAACAATGCGTCATTACAGATGGGAGACTCTCTCGTCATTAGTTATCGACACACTGTTTTCATGTATATGTAATGACATATATCAAGTACCATGAACGAAACAGGTATCCACAAATACCTCTCCATATTAACACAACTCACCCTGAAATACACTCGGATGACCATGACACAGCCACCCTATTAAAATACAGTAACCCAAACGTCGGGCGGTAATAGATTAAGCTAAGACTAAGTACTGTCTTAGTACATCTTCCTTCGGAAATAACGGTGTCTATCTAAAATAATTATGATGAAACGATAATACTGGCATCAAGATTAAATGCAAATGTAGTGCAAAAACTCATTGACCCCACCACCCCCACCACCCCCACCACCCCCACCCCCACCCCCGTGTCCGCGTAGGAAAAATATACCGACGCACAACCAGGAAGTAAAAATTGTAGTTATAACTACAGGTAACACAGAAATGATTTAACAGCTCATTCAAGTTAATATCACATCCTGGTTTGCAGCTTATCTTGTACATGGTTACATGTTATCTATGAGGTGAAAATGAAGTAGGTAAGTCTGCCCTTTTGAACATCACATGTCCAAATACACATGCTGCGATATTCTCATGAATTTGAGATTATCTAGTGATACAGTATACGATTTGTCATATATCTGCCCCCTTCTATTAGTAAGTTTACATTTAGAGAACTAGTCACACGTCGTCCACACCAAGCAGCATAGGAATCTTTTGACATTTCGTTCAAGTTGATATTACATCCTGGTTTGCGGGATACCTTGTACACAGTTTAATGTTATCTTTGAGGTGACAATGACGTAGTTGTGCTCTTTTGAACTTGAGACCATGGTTATGCCCAAATACACATTCTGTGATATTCTCATGGGTTTGAGATTGTCTAGTGACTCACACAGCATGCGATTGGTCATATATGTGCCTCCCCAAGCTTGTTATTTTTCATAACAATGAGTTTGCGTTCTTAAGCAATTACGCACCGCACTCACGCACACTCCCCTTTCCATACCTCTCAGCAGCCGCTGACCACAGATCAAGATCACCAGGGTGGTAAACCTGTCCTCTTCTTAGCTTCACATGGACAGACTTAATCCAAATATGGTGACTAATTCGCTTATATCATGTAGTAAATTGCTGCATTTATCTTTACATTAGATAACAGGACTCGATAGCAAACAACTGGTGGTAGAGGTGGTGGCGTGTGGTCCTGAGCGTAGAGCTCACTAATCAGTTGAAATTAAGCAACGTTGGGCGCGGAGAGTACTTTGATGGGAGACTGTGTTTGGCCGCTTGACTCCTGAGGGTTTCTAGGACTTCAGTACAACGAAGTACAAGTGATAAATGTGATCTTCACCCAGCCGGGAAAATGGGTACCCAGTGGGATAAGTCATGTGACTATTAACCTTCTAGCGCCCCATAAGCAGCTTGGGTTATCAGATAGTGTGTCAGCGCTTTGAGCACGCTTTGGTGTGGAAAATCCATATTATTATTTACTGATTCATAATGTGTGACGTTCGCTTTGCTACTGCACCGTGTTTGTATTCGTAAGTTCCACATCAATGAGTTAAAAGCGAGGTACAATGAATGACAGTGCTGTATTCGACAGAAGAATCCTGTATGCATTAATGTTTACATCAAATAACATGGCTCGATACCGAACTCCTGATTTATTGCCGGGATCGCATAACTACTGTCACGTATTTGAATCAGTATGTTCCACGTCAATGTGGTGGAAGCAATGTACATATCTTCCGCTTGAATGTTTTCATCTCGCCTTGCCGGGCGAGAGAAACCCGTCCAGCTACCTTCGCTGTCGTATTGTGACATTTATTTACACCGAGACAGTATAACCATGAGGATGGCTTTGAGAAAGAAATTAACGAGTTCGAGTAAATGAGGTCTCAGGTAATAGAATAGAGACATATACTTTGACAGCTGTGGTGGGAGAATGTTGTTTTATTTGTTGTAGACTAACAAACAAATTAGTTTATGCGTAAATGACAAGGTGTAATTTCATTCTGATCATTATTGCAGTGCACGTTTGTATTCTGGTAGATACAGATTCAGTGATTGCGGTTTTTTTACGCCGCTTTTAGCAATATTCCAGCATTATCACGGTGGGGGACACGAGAAATGAGCTTCATATATTTTACCCTTTGCTGGGAATCAAACCCGGGTCTTCAGTTTGACGAGCGGCCGCTTTAACCATTAGGCTACCCCACCGACTCGATATGTTAACCAATTTTCAACGGTAACTGTTTTGCATGCCAGAGTTAGAGTGAATATGGTTTTAGCAATATTCCAGCTATATTACTGCGGCTTTCACCACAAATAGGTTTCATACAATTTTTCCTATGTGGGAATCGAACCAGTGTCTTCAGCGTTGACGAGCAGAGGCTATAACCACAAGCCCACCGCTCCATGCATGAGGAAATCTAACGTATGTAGCTTGTAATTGCTGTTCAGATCAAAATATTACAGAATATGTACACCTTTCAGCAACATGTACGGCTATGTTAAAGATGGTATCGACACTTTACGTGGCGACTACCAACATCCCTAACACCGCAGATGACCTACTAGCTGTAGATAAAACATGACTGAAACTGAAACATACACAATACATAACCGCTATCAAATTAAATTTATGTCAGATAGTAAATTCATGACAATGACAATAGTGATACAATGATAATGATAGATTATATGAGTTTGGAATTCAGCATCTATACTACGCATCTCCGTGCTCATAGTCAGTGACCAGCATGAAGTGTCATGGTAAATAACAGCATGGATGCATATATATTACAAAATGTAACACGTGCACTTAGAAATACATGTACATGATTTATATGAAACAATACCAAGGATCAGGAAAAAAAGTAATACAACAGGTGACAGATTACTTATCGTGATTTATTATTACGCAATGCATGTGACCTTGCTACTGTTTTGTTCCAACATAGCGCCTCTCGGAGGTAAGTATAATGAACATATACAAACATGTACATGCATGTCTAAACGTTGGGTATATATGGAACTGTTGGAGCGTCGTACTGGATATTAATGTTCTCGTATATATAATTTTAACACGATTTAGGGCTATTTAGGTGCTGGAACACTGTAAAGGTTACATGCTTTATGCAATTTTCAAACAAAATTTCATATCGAGGGAACACTACGAATTGACTTTACACCATGCTGGAAATCAGACATCTTCAGGGTGACAACCAGTCGCTTCAACCGCCAGAATTATTCATGTGAGAATGTTTATTGTTTACAAAAGGTCACACACTATAATGCATAATTATATATTGTATTTCAGTGAACATACTAAACGTAACATTTACAAATGTCAACCCTCATGTCGTAACACCAAGACTTAGCCTCACATGCCGAGTTGTATCTACTGGCCTCAAGCAAATGCTTAAACAGCAGCTAGTTATTCAAGAAGAAATATGTCAGATAATATCTACGAAATCTATTATATCCTGTATTCGAACGTGTGCTGACAACCCCACATTTGGTAGGTTTGGTTAAATGTGACGAGGTTACACATAAAGGAAAATGACAGACAGCGAGTCATAAGAATATTTGAATTCGGTGCCTCATACAGTAAGGTTGTATGTCAGTTCAGTGTCCGACACGTCGCTCTCACTGTAATAAAGAAGTTGCCCATCCATATAGTGTTATCTACCCTTGGTGCTCCTATTTCGAAATGCCTCTCGAACAGGCCGACCGACTATCTTGATGGCACAACTCAAAGTATGTGTCGCCAGAGATGGGGAATACACTAGCGGTAGACAATAAAACAGGGAAGAGGGGTCTTCACCAATTCCATGCAAGATGCATTGAGGTGACCTTGGGATCTTCAAAGTCGTCATGATCAGCGAAAGAATAACTGCTAAAGGAAGGACTCAAATGATTGGCTAAGTTGCCGTTTTTACAAAAGATGAATCACGTTATTATGCTGTTATTTACGTCAGAACATGTCTTGATGTTGTTCAGTTGTTAAGTAATTCGTGACCTCACTTGAGAAATTACCGTAACGTTTGTCCACACTCCGAACTATTAACGTAATAAAAGGCTACTCTATATAGACAGGACGCTTTATGCAACTATTCAAATGCGGCCCTGAGGGACTTCCACTGCGTTGAGAGAAGGAGTGGTATTGTCAATGTGTTCATATGTGCTCTCCACAACTGGATCCCTGGTCTTCTCGTCTAGAGATATGTAGTTATCTTCGGGTTTCTTTTGTGAGGCATCCAGTTGAATCTTCAGTCTGCAATATACAGAAATGTTTCATCTCTATGACTGTTATATGGACACGACAGAATGATTTTTCATTCTCTGAAATACATCTTATATATATATCCGATTTGTTAATTCGGCACAAAATGTAAGTCAATCCCTGTAGTTAATCATGATAACTACATAATACATTCTTCACCTTACCTTCTGATGTAAATGATGGCTGTCAGCAGAGCGACGAGAGACAACACGAGAAGTGTCCCAAGTGTTGCTGCAACTTGCACTACCTGGTTTGAGCATCCTGCTGCACAACCTAGTTTCAGAACATAAGTAAGTGGTTCATATAAGCTGCCTTGATGTCTTACCAAGTTACTATAATTGAGTATAAGAAGAGGAAACAAAGACTTCCTGCAGCATTTATCTTGATGTCAGTTGTCTGGATGACTGTGCAAACTTTGCACAAAGTCGACAGAAAACTTTATTTCCTGCTTTTAGTGTCCTACCTTGACACAGTGGCTTCATGAAGTTACCCTGACATCCTCCAGGACATTCGCCACTGGACCTATCACAGGCTAGGCCGTCTTTACACTGACCACATCGTGACATGCAGTCATCACCGTACATTCCGTCAACGCATTCTGGGGAGGAGACGAGATATTTTTTTCATCTAACCATCATGCAGTGATATAATCAGAAGGATGTCTTGTCAAAGCGACCAGGGGAAGGTTTCTCATGGAATGAGCAGTAAACCATAACTCTCATAACACTGAATGTGTATCCCACCTTTACAAAATGGTTCTTGAAACCCTGGCAGACATCCTTGATCACATGTTCCATTGATCTTGTTACAAGGCAGGTTTCCTGTACACTGACCACACTCAAACTGACAGTGGTGTCCATGACGACCATCACTGCAAGCTGTAAAAATATGATTCATTATCAACAAAAGACATCGCGTTTCAATTATATGAGAATACGTACAGATTAAGTACCAACCTTGTGAACAGAGATCTGGCCACCATCCTGGCTGACATTCTGCAGGACATTTCCCTGTCACCGTGTCACAGACATCAGTGTCCAGACAGTGACCACACGGAGACGTACAATTGCCACCATAACATGTCCTTCTGGGCATGCTGTAGACAGTAACATAAACATGAGCCTTAGTGATGCAGTTAAAATGTGTCAGTTGGTGAGCATGGGGGCATTACAATATCAAATGACAAGGACATATTGTCCATTACGATTGGCATGTGCTCAGGTTCCATGTATATGTAGATTGTTTTGATTATTGCCAGGACGTTCCTTTGGAGATAAACTATCAAGTCAAATCTTAACGAGAGGCATCCAAACTTTAGAGCTCTCCAATTCTTTCAACCCTGCTTGTACCGACTATTTATGCCTATTTTAATGTTTTTCCTACCCGGAGAAGCATTTAGACATCTAACTTTCACTATATATTATGCATACCTTAGGAACATTTGAAAACAACATTTCTATTTAAGTTTAGGCATATTACATATGAGTCCCCCATAGCTGCGTCACATTTATTATTATCTGAAAAAGGCCAATATATCACCCCTTTTGTTCACGTTTTCTCCCTGACGGCACCACAGACGAAATTTGGAATATGTTTGCTAATGTTCCCGCTGAATAGGCTGGAATATTGCCGAGTGCGACATTAAACTAAACTCACTCATCCCAGTTGAATAGTCACACATACAATATAAAGCTATCATCATCTTGTTACTGTATTAGATAACTGCAGTTGACTTACGCTGATTACCCATGCCTTTGAACCACCCTGATGAAAATCCTCCTGGACATGTTCCATTTGTCTTGGAGCAAACATCACTATTCACACAGCTGCCCCAATAGAATCTAACTTCAGTTGCCGGCGATCTATTGGCTGTTTTTTATAGTGTTTACTGTCCGTATAGTGTTATTAGTTTAATATTAATTGCTAGTTTTAAAATATAACTGTGATACTCTAGTTGTTTTACTGTCCCATGACGGCAGGTTTGCTATTCTACATTTATTCCTTATCAATGTCATATTGGTTCTCGTCACGATATGGCCGAAATATTGCCGTTGTGACGATAAAATAAGATTAACTCACTCGTTCTGATGACAAACAAGGACATTATTATTTTGTTGCAAGCGTTCGTCTCTGTACCATCATTTAGTTTCAGACATACATTAAACATCCCTTTATGTGTATTACTAACCGCAAGTTGCAGTCCACGTCGGTAGACAAACTAAAGCTGTAATAAATCAGTATGAACTTTTGGGCAGTGCCTGTAATAGGTTTGAAAACTTTTCTCAAGACTGAAGGGGAAAAGGGGTGACTTTCCAACAGTGAACTATGTGTCAGATTCACAGCATCTCGAGCGTTTAGTGTTTTTGTTTCAGACTTGAGGTTCAAAATGAAGCATACTCGACGATTTCAGTGATAGACTAATAGACAACGTTCTCTAAAGTAGTTGAAGCAAGGTTAGAGCAGTAAATGGCTCAATAAAGCCTTCAAAGGAATTAAAAATAGACACGAGGATGAAATGACTCTCAGTGACCAAAGTAATGTAAGACGCAATTTATGTTTTAACTTGTATATTTGTTTGAACTATTTTTGTATGTATTCGTTATGTTTCTATCGATATTGATATTACCATTTTCTTGATAGTGATTAATACACATATGCTTACTGTGAATACTGTGAGTGATGAAATGCTCTTGTTATTCGTTGCAAGACCAATGCAAGAATCACAGAGAGGGGGATTCGCATTTTAAACCATCACAGGATCGATAGTTATGGAGAAACTAAGTCTTTCGTTTATGACATTCGCATATGTCAGCATTTCAGCGAATGCAGTACGCATAATCAGTTATGTGTATTAGCCAATTAAAAACATGAATAGATAAATACATAAATACATAAAAATAAAATAAATACTTTGGGACTGTGCACAGAGCCGCACAATTGCGCCTTGAGCAAAGACCATGTACTCACGTTGAAGACAAGTGTCAGTGTGCCACCCTGCTGCACAACCTAAAGGACAGATGCCTGTAGACTTGTCACAAAAAGCAGCGTTGAAGCAGTTTCCACACTTGGAGGTGCAGTCTCCATAGTAACCACCCAGACACGCTGTACATGATGTAAAACAGTTAGTATGTAAAAGCTACATCAAATGTTTCAAATAGTATGAAGCAATTTAGATGTAGGCACGCCATTTTCAAACAGTAGCTTCATCGCCTGGAAGTAAAGGGCGATATTTAATACCGTTTAAAGATAAAGATGTCCTAAGCATCAGGATACATACTGGAACCTATTAAAACAGAAAAGTCATCATGCTTTACATTGCACCAACTTCATCATATAACAATTTTTATATTTTTTTTCAAAACAATGCTGTTGCTCTCGCTGCTTGAGTCTACAACGTTGCTATGAAGTTAATATGACTTTATTACAATTTTATGATTTATCAGTCTTGCTCAAAAGATATGTCATGCAGGGTACAACGTTCGAGGCGTCGTTTAAAACGTTTTATGATAGAGACACATATGGAAGACATTTCCAACGTTGATCAATGCCAAAACTAATGTCGATGCTGTTCAGTATTTCGATTGTACGACATACGGAAATTGCGTATGCAGTGTTGTGACGGGTATTAGCGATTGTGCAGGATACATTATCACCGATTCATAATCGCAGTATATAGCCGACATTGTACAACAGACTCTGTTTATAGAAATGATTTTTTTGTCGGTATGGAGGGGGCTTTCTCATACTTGTGATATAATTCTGGATATAAACCATGCAACTGCACTGTGAGCAAGCACGATGTACTCACGTTGAAGACAGGTGTCAGTTCGCCACCCTGCTGCACAACTTCCAGGACAGATGCCTGTTGTCTTGTCACAATAGTCAGCATTGAGGCAGTTTCCACACTTGGAGGTGCAGTCTCCATAGTAACCGTCTGAACACGCTGTAGGTGATGTAGAACAACTTTACTGATATTTTTAAATAAATCTGATGCAATTGAATATAGACATTTTCAAATGGAAGGTTCATCCCCAGAAAGTAATGCCAATGTTTAATGCCACGCTCCACGTATATGTTGTATGGGTACATGTCGAGTGAAAACAAAGGAGACATTAGGCTTAACAGTCATCCACTTCATATATAGAAAGTTTGCGTTTGATTGTGTTTCATTGACTCAGAATCTGCACCTGCTTGGCAGTCCGTCCCATGTGTATCCTGGAGCGCATCCACTCATACACTGTCAGTGATCTTGTCACATACTTCTGTGTTTAGTGAACAGTGACACTGTTTGTCACAGTCCTCGCCAAACCAGCCGTCACTACAAACTGAAAACGAACTTTAACAATAATGCATATAGAACAAACATGAATTATACTAAGCAGCAAAAGAAACGTCAGTTTGGAATTTTCCTTCACAGAAACGGATAACTGTAAACTCATTCATACATGTTTTGGTTATATATTTTTGACAAAGACATTCCGTCCTAAACTCAGGAATGGGACCCGGAAATGGTATCAAAACGCAACCTGATCTCGGAGATGGTACGTGTTCTCTATGTTTTCATGCAACTCATGCTGCATCGTGCTGTTCACAAGGACCAGCCCTATAAAATGCATCCCCAAACCTTGTTGAAGTATTCACATTGCAACGTCAGCAGAATGCCGCGACTCACGACAACTCAGACGAACCAGGAAGCTAGGAAGACTTGAAGCTGGCCAACGTTCGGACCATCTACAAGCTGCAGCAACGTTTCCAAGCCACCAACACCACAAAAGATCGCCCCCATACGGACAGACCAAAGGCTGACCACAAGACGACAAGACCGCCATGTTGTGCGACGGTATGTACAGAATCCCTTCATGCAGGCATCCGAAACAACCGCCAGACGGTGGGAAGACACGGGAGACCAATCAGTACTGATACGGTACGCCGACGTCTTAACATCGGGAGACCTCCATTGCCGTGAACCTTACCGTGGACCTATCCTCACCCTCGTCATCGGCGTGATCGTCTACAGTTTGCCCTACAATGCCAAAACTGGCGATACAGGCAATAGGAGCTGTTCTTTTTCACAGATGAGAGTCGGTACTGCGTATCAACTGCAGATGGCAGAAGAAGAATATGGGTCCCGATGGTGTTCCAGAACCTTGGCCCAGGGAGGAGGCGGCATCACAGCGATGCGGCTACATCGACCAAGTTCTCAGACCCACGTCATACCACATTTCGCACGTCACCGAAACAACATTTCCAGCATGATAACGCCCGGGCCCATACTGCCAGAGCTACACGGGACTTCCTACAGCAGAACGGTGTCAACATTAGTCCTGATTTAAACTCAAGTGAACATCTTTGGGATGAAATTCAGAAGAGACTGAATAATGTCATACCATATCGAACACAGACGATTTATTGCGCCAGGCCTTTTCAGAGTGTGGTTCCAGGAGCCAATGGCCTTATCAATCGAGTGGTGCACTCCATGCATAGACGCTGTGCTGCAGTTATAACCGCTCGTGGTCGTCACACTAGATACTGAAGTCAAGATTCTGAATGGACCGCAAACGTTCACGTAATGTTTTGGAATTGAGCTGAGTTATTCATTGATGTGTCAGTATATTGTACACAAAAAATGTTTTTGATCCGCTAATTATCTTCATTTATGATTTGATTACAGTGACTATCTAATTTTTAATTCGCACAGACGGTTTTTTTTGCTGCTTAATATATAACTGACAGCCTCAGAATGACATGAAATTATGTTTCATTATTAGTGATTATCAATATTGGTTTCGTATTGGCACTATACAACAGCCATTGTGCATTAAATGGCACATATATCTACATCATATATATTCTATGAATGTATTGTTCAAATCAAAGCTAAAATCACAATCTGTTGCTCACACGTTCATTGGTGTACGTTAACCTACCAAATATCTGTACCTCGCACAACGTGAGAAAACTGTTTGTCTGTATGGTGAGGTTGTTTCCTGCCAGTGCTTGTTGACATTTGACATCAGCTACAGCTGCGGATGGGTATTCCTTGACCACTGGAAGCACAGCTGTCCACCAACATATATCTTCATGCCATTGTTTCGGTCTTGGACTGCATTTCAAAGGGAAAATACGCGTTCTGTCAAACATCAAATATTTCACTTAAGCTCCAGATCAATTTGCACCATGTGCTGTTGGTGATCTACAGCCCATTTTTACATTGAATTGTTCTTTTTAATGCTATCCTTTTATGATAAAGATGCGAGTTTTAATGTAATATCTCTGATATAGGTTTTAAATCTCAGTTGTTTCAGCATTGATATGTAATCGTTTCATCTCGTCACGATAATGCTAAAATATTGCCCATGTACCGCTAACATTATCACACTCACACAAAACATACGCCAACGATTCATATTATAGCAAACATGATATTGTCCTTAATGAAAACACAAACGGTGTTATATAGTGAGACCCATACTCACAGTCCTGACGTAGATACAGCTTGATGTGATGTATCTTGTCTGTGTTTGAGTTGTTCAGATACACAGTCCATGTTTGGTCTCCACTGTTGGTATGTGTATACATGTCAGTGGTTTACTATTAAAGTCGGTGGTAGCTCTGCCATCCACGGCGTACCTGGCCTCGAAACGGTGTGTGTTATATTCCATGTCCGTCAGTGTATACACTGTATGTACTGCTCTGTGTGGCAGTTCTTCCCAAAGCAACATTTCCTGAAGAAAGAGAAACCATGTAAAACATAATACACATACGACAATAGTGGAAATAATGGCAGTAGGTTCATTGTGCGAAAACAGTTAATGCATAGAAGTGTACATTATTTCGCAGTATGTATTTGACTTATCAACGTTGGGCTTTAGAAATCCCCCATAATTAACAAACGTGGAATAAGGGTTACAGATATCAAATGGCATTTCAAAATAGAATACAAAGCACCACTGAATATGATATTACGTGATATTTTTTCTTTCCAACAACCGATTATAATGTCGGGGCGTTACATACTCCAGTCCATACAATGCATGTATGTCTCCCATTATCTTGGAAACCATTTAAACATGATACTCAATCTAAATTCAGGTTTTCAACCAGTGTTTAAAACATTCTCGTCATTCCTTCAGTTGCCTTCTGCAAAGTGTTAAATAAATCATGAAGATTAGGAGCAAGATTAGCAATATATCAAGATATCGCAAATATCGTTGACTTGAATTCATGCTACATAGACTACCTGTCTACACTACACTCACGTCTTTGGCAATAGGTACCGAACCATCCTTCCTGACATCTGTTTGGGATCCACCGACCTTCGGTTACAGGGAGTAGAGGGGAACACGGCACAGGCAGTAGTGGTGTTACAGTGACACTCGGCATCTGAAGCGATAATAAACAAAGGAATTGATGTCCTGCTCTTGACAATGCGGGTACATCTTCTAATACAGATGAAAAGACCAGAATATATAAAACGTTTTCACTAATAAATCTCGAAATGATTCACCTGTCCGCTGCTGACATATTAGTCAATTCCCTTTAATACATGTATTTAGTCCTAACTAATCATACACGATATAAGGTGTCAGACAGAACTCTTACATCCAGGATGCCATGTACAGCTTGAACCATAGTACCAGGTGCATAGTTGATTAGGGCTGCGCAATATAACCGGTTTACCGGTATTTACCAGTTCAGACATGAAAACGATACGTATTATGATACGCTGATCGAAAACCGGTATTTTGTCATGCATTCGGAAAACTTCGGATATTTCCCGTTTTTTGAATTCGTTCTTTTCCCCTGTTTCCATTAGTGCCAAATGCCACTTACATTTTTCATTTTGTCATGATTTAAAGTGTTTATAAAGGTTAATCAATCATTGTGATTTTGTTGTGTTTTGCTTATAAATCAAGCATTAACTTGATTATAAGTAGTTTACTAATTAAAACAATAATCCTTGCAATATATTGCAATACATATCGCAATAGATGCTTCCGCATCAATAATATATCGCAATATGAAATTCTGCAATACCCACCCTATAGTTGATACTAATGGTAGCAGACCAAAACCCCAAAAACATCCTACCAGTGTGTGTCCCTGTGATGCAGAAAAACAACACCGTTGTCCAAAGCCACGCCATTGTGTCTTAGGTTTGTTCCCTCACGGATTGAATCTGCAACAAAACACACACTAGCGTTGATTCTGCTCTTCATGCTAATTTCACATGGCGACATGCTTTGCATATATAGTCACAATGGACGACTTTGGCAAGTGGAAATCTCACAAACAACTACTAATTGGCAACATAGAATTGTTGAACGTACCCTTGGGATAATAAAACATGTGGGCTCATCAAGTCATGCTTACCCAGCAATTTCTAAGGTTTTGTCTTCTGTTAACTTAGAGGCTGTTATGTTGATGTTCTGGTGCAATGTTCACACTGTAAACGGATTAGTGATTTCTCGACTACAGTGAATCTAATAACAATAAAGAGTCCCTTGTCATCAGTTTTGGACACACTGCTGTATTCCATATGTTCAAAGCACGGATTTATTAAATGTATATTGATATGATCATGTAGTATTACGAGACAGGTTTGTACATATATCAAGTACAATAAACAAACAGGTATCCACAAATACCTCTTCCTATCAAATCAACATTGCAACGTAAAAATAGACTCGGATCACCATGACACAGTCGCTCTCACAGCATATAGTAATTCAATTGGGACACTTGTAAATACACTCAGATGAGTGATAAAATGATGTCGTAGTAATATTCCATAGAAAACAACGGTATCTATCCCACATATGTAACATAATTTTGGTGAATCGGATTTTGCAGACATCATAAACTGTCTGTAAATGTATGATAATCATGAAAATCTATATTATATAGTATGAACAAATCCAGGAAGAAAATTGTGGAGATACGCAAACCGCATGTCCCTCTTACACTGCCGATTGTAAGTTTGTGTTAACTGGTATTTTTAAAGTTTAAATTACATCCTGGATTGTAAACTAAGCTTTCCTCGTACATGGTTTTAAAATAAATAAACGAGATTCTGATGTGCTCTAGAAAGTATTTTGGAATATAGTACTTCCGTATTATGAATACATTAGCACACGGTGATATCTTCCTAGGTTTTAGATTATCGAGTGACACAGTATGTGTTTTGTTAAACATCTGTTAACTCAAAGCTTATGTGTATCGAGACAGTTAATTTGTGAATTTAGTTAAACATACACATACGCAGTTACATACCTTAATCATCGGCATACATAGCAGTTTTACGACATTGTACTCAATGAGCAAGTTGAGTTGAGTGAGTAAGTTAATATTTCAGCCATATAGTGACGAGAACAAAGTTAGTATATATGATAAATAGCTGTCACGAAGGACAGTAAATCATTAGCAACGTATCACAGAATTCAATTCTAAAAACTAATTATTTTCAATTCTAAACATGCAACTTGTTATGACATATATTAACATGAAAACACGGGCTATGGACCACCAACAACCAAAGCTAGGCCACCTTACTGGAGTTCATGGGGACTTACAATACTTCAGCTTCTGCATGAAACCCCAGCAGGATTTAAACCATCCTTCAGCCACTGGTAGTTGTAAACAATGCTAGCCATAAATCAATACAATACAATAGAAGCAATACAATTCCGGTTGTCTGTAGTGCAGTATAATGCTATTATTCTATCATCTGGGTACAATATTTTTAACGATACTTCAAACTTTAAATAGCAATATAATACTAGATTTTGATTACATCAACCTCCCAGTTAAAACACAACCATTCAAAACTACTGAACAATCCGATATAGTTTAAAACCCTGTATTTAACTGTGTAAGCTATTATACATATTTGGATTGTAGTTTACCAATGGTTTGTCTTGAATGCATGCATTTCAAATATGCTTCGCTCCAAGCGCAAAAGGCACTCACTTATGTATAATGAAGACCATAAGCACACTTGGAGATATTACTTACAAAACCTTTTTTAAAGATTTTTGATGCAAAAATAAACCCAATTTTGACGTATGAAGCAGAAATCTTGGGATTAGTAGACATCAAATAGAAAGAATACACTTGTATGCATGCAAGAAATATCTTGTGTTAAATTGAATACAGTTAATGCAGCGGTTTACGGTGAATGGGGCAGATATCCAATGCACTTGTTTACAAAGTTGTCAAATATTGGTTAAAACTGTTAAATATGCCTCCATATCGGTTACCGTAAAAATGTTATAATATGGTGTTATTGTATGATAAAAATGGACAAAGAAATTGGACATCTCATGTTAAGAACTTGTTATTCTCCATTGGCTTCTGGAAACGCTTGGAGATGCATTGTATGTGTAGAATCACATACGTCATTCATGGCAGACATTTACCATAGACTTAAAGACATACATCTTCTTCAAACATGGTGTGCGAAAATAATTTGTCAAGTGAATGTTTTACACATATTACTATATCCATCCAAGCATCATAACATTCTCTACTCTATAAGAAGTAAAAATAAAAATATATTACAAAGCCTTGCCATGTTCATTCACATAGTAATGCATTACGTTTTATCACTGTAATGTAAATATATTTATTTATGTAATTCTCCATTATATATGTATATGTACTATAGGCCTGTGGCCTCTTCAATTACGAAATAAAGATTGATATTGATCTTTTAAAAACCCTGTAATTAAATGAGAATTGTTTGTGTTAAAAAGATCCTTTAAATGTGAAACTATGCAATAAATATCCCTTGTGAGAGAATAATGAGCAAGTTGAACATTCTACCCATCAATATGTCATAACGTTTAAGTTTTCACACTTTTGACGAGCCAGATTTTACATGGTATCATCATTAGAATGGTCAGGAAATGTGATTCCATGTAAGTCCAGAAAACGCCAGAGTTTAGATAGATTTATCTGTCAGGACTGGGCACCACATCGCTTTATAAATATATTAAGCTAAGCGATTTCAGCGATGTCGTAGTATATCTTCCTTCGGTCCCACATATAGAGACATAATTATGATAACACTTATACTACATGTACATGCATCAAGATTAAACTGCAAATGTGTGATCAGCTTTGTAAAACCGCTTGCTCAAACCGGCAGTTGACCTTTATGACCAACACTGCCGCTGTTACAGGTCATTGGCTCCCTCCCTCTGCAAGCTGTCTTAGCGGTCTGCTGTTTATTTTGTGGACAATTACATTAGACAGATTCTTTTAATACAAATGCATAAAATCGGTGATTTACAATGTGATTAGGTTGTTCTGACAAAACATCCACTTGCACAGTTTGAGATCGATTGGGTCATTGATGAAGAGATATTTTCAAAAACCGGGTCCCCATGCATTTCATGCCAAACTATAGTGGTGGTTTTCAAGACAATCTTACAGCAAATCGCTACACATCGACAAAATCTTTCGACCTTTACCCCTCCCCACTTCTTAACCGTCAGCGAGCTGTTTCAACATGACAACGCACGACAACAGCTTCGTCGTAACAGGTGCCCTA